GCTGGGCGGGTGTCAGAAGAGAAGTGTTCGTGACGGCAGGAGCAAATGTCCCAAGGTTTCATGAAATAATGTTGCATTGTGTCTGCCTTCTGACCATGAAAAAACCACAAGCAAACTAAAATTATCTTGCATGTTCAAGAAGTTAAAAATATTTGTTGCCATGGAGACAGCCCAGTCTCCATTTCTTCCTGGCAGTTTAAGGACTTGCGCAAACCCAAGGGGAAGTAACGTTTCATATTGTCAGCACCACAGCCAAGAGAGTGTGTTCCCGAGGCTGATGAACAGCATACCTTTCTTTCTTTGTGGCATTCATGGGCACATCGAGGAGGCCTCGTAAATAATAACTGAAGAAGTTTTGCTCACCACACCAGTTATTTTTTTCCCCATGGAGAGGTTTACTATTATTATTATTTATTTATTTATTTTTTTGACAGGCAGAGTGGACAGTGAGAGAGAGAGACAGAGAGAAAGGTCTTCCTTTGCCGTTGGTTCACCCTCCAATGGCCGCCACGGCCGACGCGCTGCGGCCGGCGCACTGCACTGATCTGATGGCAGGAGCCAGGTGCTTCTCCTGGTTTCCCATGGGGTGCAGGGCCCAAGGACTTGGGCCATCCTCCACTGCACTGCCTGGCCACAGCAGAGAGCTGGCCTGGAAGAGGGGCAACCAGGACAGAATCCGGCGCCCCGACCGGGACTAGAACCCGGTGTGCCGGCGCCGCAAGGTGGAGGATTAGCCTAGTGAGCTGCGGTGCAGGCTACTATTATTAATTTTTATAACGATTTATTTATTTGGAAGGAAGACAGGGAAAAAGAGGTATCTTTTGTCCACTGGTTCACTCCCCAGTTGGTTGTGGCAGCCAGGGCTGGGCCAGGCCAAAGCAAGGTCGTGGAACTCCATCCAGGTCTCCCTCGTGGGTGCAGGGGCCCAAGCACTTGGGCCGCCTTCTGCTTTCCCAGGAGCATTAGCAGGACACTGGATCAGAAGCAGAGCAGCCAGGACTGGAAATGTTGCCTATATGGGATGTTGACGTTGCGAGTGGCTGCTTAACCTGCTGTGCCACTATACTGGCCCCAAGACTTACTATTTTTGTCTTTTTTTTTTTTTTTTTTTTTTTTTTTTTTTTTGACAGCCAGAGTTAGAGAGAGAGAGAGAAAAAGGTCTTCTTTCCGTTGGTTCACCCCCCAAATGGCCGCTACGACTGGCGCACTGCGCCGATCTGAAGACAGGAACCAGGTACTTCCTCCTGGTCTCCCATGTGGGTGCAGGGCCCAAGCACTTGGGCCATCCTCCACTGCCTTCCTGGACCACAACAGAGAGCTGGAATGGAAGAAGAGCATCCAGGACAGAAGTGGCTCCCCGACCGGGACTAGAACCCGGGGTGCCAGCGCCTCAGGGGGAGGAGTAGCCTAGTGAGCCGTGGCACCGGCCCCAAGACTTACTATTAAGATGTCTATGTTGGCCCAGCGATGGGTTGTATCATATTAAGCCGCTACCTGTGACACTGGTATCCCTGTTGGAGCACTGGTTCAGTTCCCTGCCTGGGAGAGCAGTGGAGGATTACCCAAGTGCTTGGACCCTTGCCACCTGCATGGGAGACCTGGATGGAGTCCTGGGCTCCTGGCTTCAGCCTGGCCCAGTCCCAGCTATATGGACATTTGGAAAGTGAACCAGAAGATGGAACATCTCTTTCTGTGTCTCTTCCTCTCTCTTTGTCCCTCTGCCTTTCAAATAAATACATTTTCTTTTTTTTTAAATAATATACATTCATTTTTACTTGTAGAGTTTTCTCTTTATTTTTATTTTTGACAGCATTAGAGAGAGAGACAGAGAGAAAGGTCTTCTTTTGCCATTGGTTCACCCCCCAAATGGCTGCTACGGCCGGCGAGTGCGCCATTCCGAAGCCAGGAACCAGGTGCTTCTCCTGGTCTCTCATGCGGGTGCGGGGCCCAAGCACCTGGGCCATCCTCCACCGCACTCCCGGGCCACAGCAGAGAGCTGGCCTGGAAGAGGAGCAACCGGGACAGAATCCGGCACCCCAACTGGGACTAGAACCCAGGGTACTGGCACCACAGGCAGAGAATTAGCCTAGTGAACCGCGGTGCCGACCCAAATAAATACATTTTCTTAAAAAGTCCATACTATTCAAATGAAAGATGTGGTAAAATGCCTATTACAATCTTTTTTTTTTTTTTGGACAGGCAGAGTGGACAGTGAGAGAGACAGAGAGAAAGGTCTTCCTTTGCCATTGGTTCACCCTCCAATTGCCGCCACAGCCAGCGTGCTGCGGCCGGCGCACCGCGCTGATCCGATGGCAGGAGCCAGGTACTTCTCCTGGTCTCCCATGGGGTGCAGGGCCCAAGCACTTGGGCCATCCTCCACTGCACTCCCGGACCACAGCAGAGAGCTGGCCTGGAAGAGGGGCAACCGGGACAGAATCTGGCGCCCCGACCAGGACTAGAACCCAGTGTGCCGGTGCCGCAAGGCGGAGGATTAGCCTAGTGAGCCGTGGCGCCGGCCCTATTACAATCTTATTGGCATTTTTTCCTTAAATAGACAAAACAGTCCTGAAAATAATGGAATTACAAAAGACCCAAAAGAGCCAAGACATTGTTGAGAAAGAACTGAAGGCATCATGGTTCCTGACTTGAGAACACATACATTACAAAGCCACAGGCGTTACAGTGCAGTACTGGTGAAAGCCCAGACAGACAGTAGCCCAGAGCCAAACCAAGTGAACGTGGTAAACAGTCTTCCACAGGGTTATCAAGAACACACCAAAAGAGAATAATCTGACAAATGGTGCCGAAACACGGGGTAGCATCACACAAAAAAGTGAAATGGGGACCCGGTAATATACCATACAAATAGATAAAAGCTCAAGATGAGTTAACACCTTAAATGTAAGAATCAAAACTGAAAACTCCCAGAGTTAACCATGAGAAGGAAACTGCATGACCTTGGTCTTGGCAATGATTTCTTGGATATGACTCCAAAATTTCAAGCAACAAATCAAAAATAAAATTAATCCTACTCTTTTTTAAGATTTGTTTATTTATTTGAAAGAGTTACACAGAAAGAGGAGAGGCAGAGTGAGAGAGAGAGAGAGAGAGAGAGGTGTTCCATCTGCTGGTTCACTCCCGAACTGGCCGCAACGACCGGAGCTGTGCTGATCCCAAGCCAGGAGCCAGGAGCTTCTTCTGGGTCTCCCATGCGGGTGCAGGGGCCCAAGGGCTTGGGCCATCTTTTGCTGCATTCCCAGGCCATAGCAGCTGGATCAGAAGTGGAGCAGCCGAGTCTCGGACCGGTGCCCCTATGGGATGCCGGCGCTTCAGGCCAGGGCATTAACCCACTGTGCCGCAGTGCCTGCCCTGAAAGGTTTATTTTGTTTGTTTGAAAGGCAGAGTTAGAGAGGAAGGGACAAAGAGAGGTCTTCTATCTGCTGGTTCACCTGCCAGATGGCCACAATGACTGGAGCTGGGCCAAGCCAAAGCCAGGAGCCAGGAGCGTCTTCGGAAGTGGAGCAGCCAGGACTCGAACCAGTGCCCATATGGGATGCAAGCGCTGCAGGCTGGGGCTTTAACTTGCTGCGCCACAGCACAGGCCCTAATCCTACTCTTGCAGAGTAAAAGCACCAATTAAGAGAGTGAAAAGGCAACATAAAGAGTGGGAGAAAATGTTTGCAAACCTTGCATTTGACAAGGACTCATATCCAATATATATAATGAACACCTTTAATTCAATAGCAAAATTAACCCATTAAGAAAAGGGCAGATGACGTCAGTGGACATTCCTCCCCACCCTGCAATGGGCGGAAGTGTGTGATAGATGCTCAGGATTACCAGTCATCAGAGAAAGGTAAACCCCCGCCAGAATAGCACTCCCGGTTCTTAAAAATGTCAGGACTGAAAGACATAGGAAACAAAAGTATTGAGCCAGAAAAACTCTGAACTTAAAAATGTTTAAACCAACTAAAGAACTGGAGTATATATGCAAGGTACACAGAAACCTTGCATTTTCCTCATGGTAATTGTGGATTTTTAAAGAATATGAGTTCTGTGAGAAAGAAGCAAAAAGCATGAGTGCTTTTTACTATGTTTATCAATATATTTACTTTGCACAGCAGTGAGAATTTTCCCAGAGGATAATACACAGTTTGATGGCTAGAGGCAGCATAGCACAGGCTTTTTTTTTTTTTTTTTCCCAATAAAGATTTATTTATTTACTTGAAAGACGCAGTTACAGAGAGGCAGAGAGACAGACAGGTTTTCCATCCACTGGTTCACTCCCCAGATGGCCACAATGGCCGGAGCTTCGCCAGTCCAAAGCCAGGAGCCAGGAGATGCTGCTGGGTCTCTTGCTCAGGTGCAGGGGCCCAAGCACTTGGGCCATCTTCTACTGCTCTCCCAGGCCACAGCAGAGCTGGATCGAAGTGGAGCAGCCGGGACTGGAAACGGCGCCATATGGGATGGGATGCTGGCGCCTCAGGCCAGGGCGTGAACCCGCTGAGACGCAGCACTGGCCCCTGCACAGGGTTTTGGAGTAACTCAGTAACGTTGTTGACTGGCTGTGTAACCTTGAGGGTGCTGATTAACTTCCACGCCTCAACTTTGATTCATGTCCAGTGGAGGTAATACACCCAGGTGCCTCCACTGACAGGTGTCAGTTAGTAATACAAATAATACTAGTCCTCAGTAATAAGTGTCTGAGGTAAGTGGGACTGCAGATGTGTTTCCTTATCCTTCAGAGTTTCCAAGAAAGCTGAGTGCCTAGGCTCTGAATCTCTTCCCGGCGCAGTGTCGTTTGGCCTGCCAGGGTTGTACAGCTGCGCCGATTAGCCCACTTGTCTGTAGGAGATGCATTGCTCCAGGGACTTAGTGAAACGTTAAGTACAACTTGCACTGCAGTTTATTAGTATCAACTCCTACATTTTTAAGAAAATTTAAAAGTTAGATTTTCATTGCTTAGAGTATAAAATCTGAATGAATACTTTTTTCTTTAGGCATTTTAAATTATACCTGACATCAAGTACTGAACGCTTTGCACAGAATTTCAAGGTCGTGGTGGTGGATGGTAAAGATGAAAGCGAGTACGCTGTGAAGTGGCAGGACTTCTTCAGTGGACATGTGGTTGGTCAGTATGGAGCTGGTTCATTTGCCCTTATGTCTGGGGGTTAGAGCTACGAGTCCAGCTTGGTTGCATATTCCTTTTTGGTGGTGGTGGGGGAAGAGCTCCGTAGAGATACTGTTCTTTGCTCATTTTATTTGAGCTATGCATATTAGGAGGAGAAACATTCTAACGGGAGGAAATGGACCTTGTCTAGCATGTCACACTGGCTAGTCGGTTAATGATTACAATTTCCTCTCAAGTGATAAGAATTTAACCTCTTGTGTTTAGGCAGGGGTTGTAGATTTCCTTATGAGAGTTAAAAAAAAATAAAAAGTTGACGGGGCTGGTGCTGTGGTGTAGTGGGTAAAGCTGCCGCCTGCAGTGCCAGCATCGTATGTGGACACCGGTTCACGTCCTGGCTGCTCCAGTTCCAATCCAGCTCTCTGCTCTGGCCTGGGAAAGCAGTAGAAGATGGCCCAAGTGCTTCAGCCCCTGCACCTGCATGGGAAGCACACAGCTCTGGCTGTTGCAGCCCTTTGGGGAGTGAACCCGTGGATGGAAGACCTCCCTCCCTCCCTCTCTCTCTCTCTCTTTCTCCCCCTCCCTCTCCCTCCCTCCTTCCCTCCTTCTCCCCCTCTCCCCTTACCCCCCCTCCCCCACCTCTCTGTAAATCTACCTTTCAAATAAATAAATCTTTTTAAAGAATGAAAAGGTTGATTCTACTTTGATTTACTTGAAAGGTAGAGAATCTTTGGTCTGCTGGCTCATTTCCCAAATGTTTGCAACAGCTGGGGCTCGGACCAGGCCAGCCTGAGGCCAGGAGCCCAGAACTCCACCTGGGTGTCCCATGGGTGGCAGGGCCCAGCCACTTGGTCCATCACGTGTTGCCTCCCAGGCGTGTATGAGCAGGCAGCTGGGTTGAAAGCAGAGGAGCTGGGCTGGAACTGGCAGTCTGGAGTGCTGGTGGGCATGCCGAGCGGAGCTTGAGCTGTTCTACCACAGCAGCCTCTCCCACCCTTAGGAGGGGTTAGACAAGGTATCCAGGAGTCAGGTGATTGGCTGTGTGAGCCTGTTGTGTGTTTGAGAGGGCACAGCAAATGGTTAGTTTAATTTTTGAGCATTTTCTGCAGTAAGAAAAAAATGGCATTGCAGTCCCCACTGCACAGTTCCAGGCCTGCGTTGAGTACTTTCCAAAACCACGCATTCTGCTTTCTCATCATTCTTTCTTACTCAGAGGAGGTAAAGTTATTCCAGAAGAAAATCCATGGTTCTTTTTTGGGAAGTTAATAGATTTCAAGTTACCGGGCTTGGCACGCCTCCTTGGGAAGGGAGAATTATCTAGTTTCACTTTGGACTTCAGTTTCTCAGTTGCAGAGCACTAAGGAAAATTCTGTTCTGATGGTGTGTTTGGTTGATTTGTTGATAGTAGTGATTGTTTATTATTTAATGTAAATATTTTTAATGAAAATTATTTTTCCTCTAAAGGTGAGCCTGATTCCAGGGTTCTAGCCCACATAGGAGATGACGATGTTACAATAAGAATCAACACTGATGGGGCAGAATATAATATAGAGGTAAATCTACATGTGATTTTTTTTTTAGTAGCTTATGTCTCTGATTCTTAAAAAGCTTCTCAGTTGTTTTAAGAGGGCAAAAGGTGAATATTAATTATACCTGTTTCCTTTCTCCTTGTATTTACATTTTTTTAAACTAGGAAAACAGGTGATTTTAAGGAATAGTTTATTTCTGAGGAGCTGACATGAAATACCCTTTTTTTTTTTTTTTTTTGCTTTTTTAAATTTTTGATTCTGCTTTTCATTCTTTCTTTTTATTTTTAAAAAATGTTGAGAGTGAGAGAGCATTCCTAACTGTTAGTTCACTCCCCAGATTGCCTGCTGTGACCTTTGGGGCCAAAGCCAGGAGCTGGGAATCCATTCTCTGTCTTCCATTTGGGTGACAGGCACCCAATTACCTGAGCCATCACTGCTCTCTCCCAGGGTATGCACTAGAAGGAAGCTGGAATCAGGAGCTGGGTCAGCGGGTTTCGAGCCCAGGCACTGGTATGGGATGTGGCAGGTCAGCTGCTGGGCCTGGTGCCCACCCCAAGCTCCGTGTTTCTGAGCACCATGATTGAATCACCTGTGGGATGGCTGTGGCTAGAGGAAACCTTTTTCCGTCCAGACTCATTGTTTTTGATTCTCTAACATTCTACCAGAGGTGTGAATACTCCCAAAAATGAAGGTGAGATCTGGCTGCTTCATTTCCCTGTCTCTGTGCTACACACTTTGGAATGCTGGACCGACAAAAGGCATAGTTTGGGGCTGGCATTGTGACACAGTGGGTGAGGCCACCACCTGCAATGCCGGCATTCTTTGTGGGTGCCAGTCCGTGTCCGGCGGCTCTTCTTCCAGTCCAGCACCCTGTTCATGGCCTGGGAAAGCAGTGGAAGATGGCCCAATTGGGACCCTGCATCCACGTGGGAGACCCGGATGAAGCTCCTGGCTTCGGCCTGCCTCAGTGATGGCTGTTGTAGAAATAAGCTTTTTTTTTTTTTTTTTAAAGGACACAGTTGATAGTCTGAGAACCTCAAAGAGGAAACTCAGTCTCTGGCTGCTGTTCCATTGACATAGTAGCAGAAAAAATCACAACCAAAACGCCACACTTGTATCAGATGGTTATCCATTTGCCAGAAGCTAGTCAGGAACACACAATGTTTGCCAAATTATTTGTGGTTGGAAATTGATTCTGTGTTTTTTGAAAAATAAGAATGCTCTGAATAGTGTTGATGATAACAGAAAAGCAGATCACCTGTGAGGACTGTAGTTAAGACTCGTCAGGTGAAGTAGGAATATGTGAGTGCTGGTAGGTGTAACATAGGGGGCTCGTGCTATAAACGTACATTTTATTTTATTTTTCAAAGATCTATTTTTTTGAAAGGCAGAGTTACAGAGAGAGAGAGAGAGAGAGAGATGCTCTATCTGCCAGTTCACTCCCCAAACGGCTGCAACAAGCAGGGCCAGGCCAGGCCAAAGCCAGGAGCCAGGACTTCGTCCGGGTCTCCCATGTGAGTACAGGGGCCCAAGGACCTGAGCCGTCCTCTGCTGCCCTCCTAGGTGCATTAGCAAGGAGCTGGATTAGAAGTGGAACAGCTAGGCGTCGAACCTGTTACTCACATGGGCTGCTGGTGCTACCGGCTGTGACTTAACCGCTGTGCCATAGCACCAGCCTCTTAATATACATTTTAATAACATCCAAACCACATGATCATTGGTCTTTTGTCTGTCCATCACTGTGGAAAAGAAATCTATAGTAGAGTAGACATTGTGGTGTAGCAGATAATGCCTACAGCACTGGCATCCCAAATGGGTGCTGCTTCCAGTCCTGCTCCCTGTGAACGTGCCTGAGAAAGACGACCCAAGTTGTTGGGCCCTTGCCACCCACCTGGGAGACCTAGAAGAAGCACCTGGCTTCGGACTGGCCCAGCTCTGGCTGTCACAGCCGTTTGGGGAGTGAACCAGTGGATGGAAGATCTTGGTCTCTGCTGCTTCTCTCTCTCTAATTCTGTCTCCAAATAAAGACACAAATCTTCATTTAAAAAAAAAAAAAAAACAAAAAAAAACTTACTGGGGTGGTGTTGTGGTGCACTGGGTTGAGCTACCTCCTGTGACGTAGACATCCAATATTGGAGTGCATACTTGAGTTCCAGCTGCTCAAACTTTCAATCCGGCTCCCTGCTGATGTGCCCAGGAAGACAATGGAAGGTGGTCCAAGTACTTGGGCCCCTGCCACCCACGTGGGAAATCCAATTGAAGACTGGGATCCCGGCTTCTGCTTTGCCTGGCACCTGGTGTAAGAAAAAAGGGTGCAGATCAGAGAGGAGACAGAATATGAACTCACAGCCAGACCAAATTTATTCAAAGAAAATAAACTTGCAAAGGTCGACCAACTGCCAGCGTGCACACAGACCAAACACCCCAGGGACTGGGCCTTTTATATCTTAGGTGGGCTAGTGACGGGGAGTGGGGGTACTAGGCAGAGGTGAGCTTTTCCGTACAGGTATTTTAGGTGTGGCCCTCTGGCTTCAAAGCCTGGGAACCGTGCAGGGGGTAGACTAAATCGGTCTCTTGAGAGAAGGCTGGGGTACCGCGAACTAAAATGGCTGAGGCTTGTGTCCTTCTGTCACCTGGCTGTTGTGGCAGTTTGGGAAGTGAACCATCAGATGGAAGGTCTCTTTCATTCTACCTTTCAAGTAAATAAAATAGATCTTTAAAAAAAATCGTAAGGCTTTGCAATATGCTGTAGTCTGTTAATATTTATACTTCTAGTCTGTTTTCTGTTGCTTTAATAGTATACTTGAGACCCAGTAATTTTTTAAGGATTCACTTATTTTATTTGAAAGAGTTACAGAAAGAGGGATACACACACATGCACATACACACATCTTCCATCCACTGGTTCACTCCCCCAAATTGCTGCAACAGCTGGGGCTGGGCTAGGCTGAAGCCAAGAGCTAGGAGATTCATCCAGGTCTCCCATGTCAGTGGCAGGGGCCCAACTACAATCTTCCGCTGCTTTTCCAAGCGTATTAGAAGGGATCTGGATTGGAAGTGCAGCAGCCAGGACTTGAACCAGTACTCTTTTGGGATGCTGGTGTTGTAGGCGGCGGCTTGGTTGTGCCATAATGTGTACCCAGCCCAGTGAGACATGAAGCACAGAATTTGTTTAGCTCATGGAACCAGAACTGGAGGCTGGGAAACCCGGGAGTGTGTTTCTGGCATCTGCCTTGCATCTCTGGAGTGTTTCCTTGCTGCACCGTAACACAGAGGAGGGCGTCGTACGATGAGACAGCAAGAGTGCCAGAGCTTTTTTTTTTTTTTTTTTTTTTTTTTTTAAGATTTATTTATTTGTTTGAAAGAGTTATGGGGATGGTAGGGGGAGAGAGAAAGAAAATAGAGAGATCGACCTTCCGTCTGCTGGTTTGCTCCCGAAGTGGCCACAACGACCAGAGCTGGGCCTGGCCAAAGCCAGGAGCCTAGAACTCCACTGGGGACTCCCATGTGGGTGGCAGGGGCCCAAGTACTTGGGCCATCTGCTGCTAGTGCTTTTCTAGGTGTATTAGCAGGGAACTGGATTGGAAGTGGAGCAGCTGGGACCCGAACCTGTGCTCATGTGGGATGCTGGTGCTGCAGACTGTGGCTTAACCTGCTGTGCTACCGTGTGGGCCGCCAAGAGCTTTTATAGCAAAGCCACTCCTGTGACAGCAGTGTTCTCATGGCCCAATAATTTCACAAAGGTTCCACCTCCAGATACTGTCAACATCTGAGTTTAGGATTGAGTTACCAGCAGCTGAATTTGGTGACACATTCGCACTGTCTGGCCATCTGGTGTCAGTTTTGGGTGTCTGGCATGCCAGAAGAATTCAGGGCTTGAGGAGCAGATCAAGGAGCTAGACAGATTAACCACTGTCGTGTTAAATTTGCTTGATATTTTAAATCAGTTCACTTTGAACAAATAATTTTATTTAAAAACATGCTCATTACAAAACTGAGAAAATCTTAATACTTGGACATATTACTACTGTGAACATTTTGATGACTATTTTTCAAAAATTTTAAAAAGAGATTCATTTACTTATTTGAAAGAGTTAGAGAGGGAGAGACAGATCTTCCATCTGTTGGTTCACTCCCCACATGGCCATAACAGACAGGGCTAGGCCAGGCCAAAGCCAGGAGTATATTCCAGGTCTCCCATGGGAGTTCAGGGACCCAAGCACTTGGGCCATTTTCTGCTGCCTTCCTAGGCCTTTAGCAGGGAGCTGGATTGGAGGTAGAGCACCCAGGACTCAAACTATTGCTCATATGGGTGCTGGTGCTGCAGGTGGCAGCTTTGCCAACTATGCCACGATGGCGACCCCCACATTTTTTTCTGTGTGTATACACGTAAATGAAGGTGGTCATGTGAGGGGTCTTCAAAAAGTTTATGAGAAATGGCATGTTGTGAAAAAATTGCATGGTTTTCAAAATGTGTTACACCAAAATAAAGCTTGCTTTTAATTTTTCGATGAACTCTGGTACCAACTGTTATTTCCTGCAAAATTAGAGTCATACTATATGTAGTTTGTCTTCACTTATTTTTCATGTAATAATATAATTGTGAACATTGTTTCATGTTTATTATAGCTCTAAGTTAGGATTTTTAGTAAAGACTCTGCTTGCTGGGGGTCCAGCGCTGTGGCGTAGCAGGCAAAGCCACTGCCTGCAGTGGTGCTGGTTCAAGTCCCTGCTATGGCCTGGGAAAACAGTAGAGGATGGCCCAAGTTCTTGGGCCCCTGCACCCACGTGGGAGACCCAGAAGAAGCTCTTGGCTCCTGACTTGGGATTGATGTAGTTCCAACTGTGGCATCCGTCTAGGGAGTGAACCAGCAGATGGAAGACCTCTCTCTCTGCCTCTGCCTCTCTGTAACTCTGCCTTTCAAATAAATAAATAAACCTTTAAAAAAAAAAAAAAAGACTGCTTATTGGCTCATTGGAATGTTATACATACTTTTTTTTTTTAAGATTTATCTATTTGAAAGGCAGAGTTACAGAGAGGGGGAGAGAGAGAGAGAGAAAGGTCTTCCATCCATCAGTTCACTCCTCAGATGGCTGCAATGGCCAGAGCTGTGCTGACCCAAAACCAGGAGCCAGGAGCTTCCTCCATGTCTCCCACATGGGTGCAGGGGCCCAAGGACTTGGGCCATCTTCCACTGCTTTCCCAGGCCTTAACAAAGAGCTGGATCAGAAGTGGAGCAGCTGGGACTTGAACTGGTGCCCATATGGGATGCTGGCACAGGCAGTGACTTTACTTGCTATGCCACAGCCAGCCCCAAATGTTGTACTATTTTATTTATCTAATACGCCATTGATGCTCAATTGTTTTCTAAATTTTGAAGTAAAACATTCTGTAAGGAGGGTAGACGTTGGTGCAGCAGTTAGAGCTGCCTCCTGGTACCTCTGCGTCTGCCTTCTGATCCGACTTCCTGCAGGGTGCATTCTGGAGGCAGCAGCTCGAGTCGGTGGGCCCAAGCTGCCCAGGCGGGAGGACCTCCTCCCTGTCAGACGTCTGATGGGTGCTCGTTCTGCCTGGCAATCTGTGTCTCTCTGCCTCTCAATTTTTTTAAAAAATTGTTTTTCCTAAACCAGTAATAAGTTTCAGGCACATTGTTGCAGCTTTTTAGTCTTCTCTTGTAAAAATGTCCTTTCTTGTGGGTAAAGCCCAGCGTGACAGAAAGATGTCAAATACCTGGATTTGAGAAATTAGAATGAAAATGTCGCGGGAACAGGAGACTTGTCTTGGCTTTGTTGTTGTATCGCCTTCATCTACAAGGCTGTCAGTAAATAGTAGGCATTGCAGAGGTATTTTTGAATGGAAAAGATATGCAGTTTTGTCTTCTGTATCTTCTAAAAGATTTCAGGCCCTGTACAAAATATTTTTTCTGTACAGATAAAATAATTCAAATAATTCATGTATTTACCAGCATAGAAATTCGACATGCTCACTATTGAAATATTTATTTTGGATAAAATGACCTGTCAGTTTACTTAACCTGGAAAGGAATGTTATCTAAGAACACGCAGAGACAGGTGTAAGAATTTAATGTGATTATTAGGAAGTCTTGTATTTTATATCTCAATCCTATTTCCCCTTACAGCCACTTTGGAGATTTGTCAATGATCCTGAAGACAAAAGAATACTAGCTTATAAGTCTGAAGATATTAAGAATGTTTCGCGTTTGCAGTCTCCAAAAGTGTGTGGATATGTAAAAGTGGATAATGAAGAGTTGATTCCCAAAGGACTAATAGACATAGAACCTCCAGAAGGTAAGGCGTGGGGAGTGTATTTAAAATAAGAAACAAGTGGTGCAACTGTTTCAGTATATGGAGGTTGTTGACTTAAAAAATGCACAATTATCAAGGAGCCTGTAGTACTTGACTTGAGAAGTTTGTTGTTTGAGAAAAATCTTAATACACTTATCTATAATGTAAGAGTTCACAACACTAGATATTGTGGGGGCAATAAAGAAAAAAAGGTTGGACTTAAAAGGAGATTGTGTTGGGGGCCGGCGCTGTGGCATAGTGGGTAAAGCTGCGGCCTACACGGCTGGCATTCCATATAGGCACTGGTTTGAGTCCAGGCTGCTCCACTTCCAATCCAGCTCTCTGCAATGGCTTAGAAAGCAATGGAAGATGGCCCACGTCCTTGGACCCCGGCACTTGAGTGGGAGACCTGGAAGAAGCTCCTAGTTTTGGATCGACTCAGCTCTGGCTGTTGCGACCATTTGGGGAGCAAACCAGCGGCTGGAAAACCTCTCTCTGCCTATAACTCTCTGTACCTCTGTCTTTCAAGTAAATAAATAAATCTTTAACAAAAACTATTGTGTTTATGGAAAATTGAATAATCTGAGAGAAAATTGTGTGCACATTTACTTAGAAATGAGAGTACTATTGAAAAATGTAGACTTCAGGGTTCTTCACCTTGGGACGTACATATTTAAGTCATTTAGAAAAAAATTGGGTAATTTAGAAAACAACTGATGTGAGGCTTATGGTCTTCCTTTTTGGATACCTTAGAGCATTTCCTTACCATTTTATTATTAAAGACAAATAAGCTGTTAAACAGTTAGACTATTTGATGAGAAAGATGTCCTATTGTACAAAGTCAAATTTTTTTTTAAAAATTATTTTATTCATGTGAAAGAGTTACACAGAGAGAGGAGAGGCAGAGAGAGAGAGAGAGATCTTCCATTCTGCTGATTCACTCCCTAAATGACCGCAACGGCCAGAGCTGAGCTGATCCAAAGCCAGGAGCTTCTTTCGGATCTCCCATGTGGGTGCAGGGGCCCCAGGACTTGGGCCATCTTCTACTGCTTTCCTAAGCCATAGCAGAGAGCTGGATCGGAAGAGGAACAGCCAGGACTCGAACTGGTACCCATGTGGGATGCCAGTGCTGTAGGCTGGGGCTTTAACCTGTTGTGCCACAGCACTAGCCCCTCAAACTAAAGTTTTCTTTTTTTTTAAAAAAAAGGTTTGTTTATTTATTTGAAAGAGTTACACAGAGAGAGGAGAGGTAGAGAGAGAGAGATCTTCCATCCGATGGTTCACTCCCCAATTGGCCACAACGACTGGAACTGTGCCTATCCGAAGCCAGGAGCCAGGAGCTTCTTCCGGGTCTCCTACGTGGGTGCAGGGACCCAAGCACTTGGGCCATCTTCTACTGTTTCCCAGGCCATAGAAGAGAGCTGGATTGGAAGAGGAGCAGCTGGGACTAGAACCAGCACCCATATGGGATGCCGGCGCTTCAGGCCAGGCTGTTAACCTGCTACGCCAAAGCGCCGGACCCCCCACAAACTAAATTTTAACATGTCGTTATCTTGACATTTGTACCATTACTTTGGTTAATTCATAGACTTAACAGAAAATAACTGATGGCTTCACAGCCCGGCAGAAGGTGCTTGATTGATTGTGTTAAGTACTTTTGAAAGTTTCTGTATTTTAGAAATTAAGGAAGTACTTTTTCTTGGCTTTGGATTCTACAATTTTTTAAAAAGATTTATTTATTTATTTGAAAGAGTTACACAGAGAAGGAGAGGCAGAGAGAGGTCTTCTAGCCACTGGTTCACTCCCCAATTGGCTGCAACGGCTGGAGCTGGGCTGACCCAAAGCCAGATTCCAGGAGCCTCCTCTGGGTCTCCCATGCGGGTTCAGGGGCTTAAGGACTTGGGTCATCTTCCATTGCTTTCCCAGGCCTTAGCAGAGAGCTGGATCAGAAGTGGAGCAGCCGGGACTCGAACCCGGCGCCCATATGGGATGTCAGCACTGCAGGTGGTGGCTTTACTCACTATGCCACATCGCCGGTCTCATGGATTCTGCAATTTTTAAGCTTCTTCTTTTTTACTTTTCTGTTTTCCACTATGGTTTTTTTCTTGTTCAAGATACGTTTGAGGATACTAAGCTCAAATAGTGTTTCTTTCAGAAATATAGTAGTGTCACTGTGAAAAAACCTTCCTTGTTTTGGTGAATTTTGATTTAATAGTGCGTACAAATTCATACTAGAGCTTGCTCGCCGGGTGAAGAGGAGAGCGGAGCCTGACCCCATGAAGAACACGTGCAAGCTGCTGGTGGTCGCAGACCACCGCTTCTACAGATACATGGGCCGAGGGGAGGAGAGCACCACCACCAATTACCTAGTAAGTCGGATACTGCAGGTGGATGACCTCGGTCTCAATAGGGCACAGCAACCCTCAGCGAATGAGCCGATTCGTTTGCCAAGTATCTGGGGGATATTGCCTCTGGTTCTTAAATTACTGTGTGGAAATCATAGTTTCACATGTCTGAAGACATTTTACCTGTGACTTAGTATTTTCTGCACATTAGGATTTTTATGCATATTAGGTTTGGGAGAAGTTTGCAATACAGTCGTCTCTTTATACAAGGAAGCTCTTTAAAAACGGCAGTGAACCTGGCATGTCACGTGGTCGTCTGCCCCAGGGTACAAGCGTGTCTTTATGTGAGCCTGTGTGTGTTTTGTGTGTGTGTGTGTGTGTGTGTGTGTGTTTCAGAGAACAAGGTCAGTTTTGTTCAGCGGTGTCAGGGAGCTAATCATTGGACGGTAACTGCCTGAAATGGGGTGTACCGTCATGGCCATAACCGGCCAAGGGCAGAGAGATATTAAGGAAGCATTGATACTGGGTTCTTAGGCAATAACTATTACAGTTTTTAAGGTCAAGGGGATAATTTTTCATTGACATTTTTTGTTAGTCTGACCTCATTTGTCATGGTAACTTGGCATTGACTGAACTGTTACTGACTGAATAAGAGAGAATGCAGCTGTTCATGCCCAGAGCCTCGTGCAGGAACGTCGCCCATCTCGTTGCTTTGCCTTCCCCATTTTGGCCTTTTTATTCATGGCCTCCCTCACCCTTCCTTCCCTACTGTTCCGTGTTGAGAATGAATTTATCATGAGGGCAGTGCAGTTCATTGCAACTCTTGCCCCGAAGTGAAATTCTTTCTTGGCAAAGCATCTCTCTTCTCTGGATTTTGCTTTAGGGGACTCCTCATCTTTTACTTCTTTGTTAGGCTATGGAAATGAATTTGATGAGAAGTCTAGTTTTAAATTTGTGTGTAGGGGGCTGGTGCTGTGGTGCTGTGGGATAAAGCCTCCCCCTGCAGTGCCGGCATCCCATGTAGGCGCCAGTTTGAGTCCCTGCTGCTCTTCTTCCAATCCAGCTCTCTGCTGTGGTCTGGGAAAGCAGTAGAAGATGGCCCAAGTCCTTGGGCCCCTGCACCCATGTGGGAGACCCGGAAGAAGGAAGCTCCTGGCTTCAGATAGGCACAGCTCCGGCTGTTGCAGCCATCTGGGGAGTGAACCAGTGATGGAAGACCTCTCTCTCTCTCTCTGTCTCAGCCTCTCTGTAACTCTGACTTTCAAATAAATAAATAAATCTTTAAAAAATTGTATTTATTTATATTTATTTGAGAAGCAGAGAGAAAGAGAGACAGCTCCATCCTCTGATCATTCTGCAGACGCTCAGAAGGTCTGAGGTTAACAGGCCGACAGCATGGACATGGGACCTCAGGCCTGGTCTCCTGTGTGGGTGGCAGACCTCTGACTCTGCTTCTACCTCTCTCTGTAACACTTTCAAATAAGTAAAACTTTAAAAAAACTACATTTGTTATGGTTAAATAAAAACAAGAAACATCTTCTGAGACCTGTAACCTGCTTCACAGCTGCTGCAACCAGTTTGTGAACACATGTTTGAGTAGAATATTCTTTGAGGAAAAGATAATTAATTGATGTTTAATTTTTTTAAAGATTTATTTATTTCAAAGGCAGAGTTACAGAAAAGCAGAGAGAGAAAGAGATCGGTCCTTGATCCGCTAGTTCATTCCCTAGATGGCCGCTACGGCTGTACCTGTGCTGGTAGGAAGCCAGGAGCCATGGATGACTTCCGGGTCTCCCATGCGGGTGCAGGGGCCCGAGGACTTGGGCCATCTTCCACTGCCTTCCCAGGCCATAGCAGAGAGTTGGAATCCGAAGTGGAACAGCTGGGACCGAAACCAGCCGCCCGTGTGGGATGCCGGCACCGCAGGCAGTTGCTTCACCCGCCATGCCACGGGGCTGGCCCCAGCATTTAGTTTTTCCCTCAGGCAGGGTGATGATCCTGTCCTTCCTCCCTGAGTCTTCCCGAGTCCGAGCAGGAGCAGGAGGGAGAGTGCAATGTACCTCCTTCCTCTGGGCCTCTGTTCACCTGTTCCTCAGTGTTGGACTGTGCTGGGCGGGGGAGGGAGTCGTTTGTGGTTGCTGTCACTGCCCCTGGTTTCTGGGGCAGGACTCTGAGGTCCCTGCTAAGGGAGAGAGTAAAGGGGTGAGTGACACAGCGGCTGAGTCGCCACGTGGAAGCCCAGGTCTCACATTCCAGTTCTGGCTGTCCCGCTTCCGGTTCAGCTTCCTTCTGATGTGAGCCTTCGGAGGCAGCGCAGAACGGCTGAGGGGTCCACGTGCCTGTTACCTGCGTGGGAGACCTGGATGGAGTTCCCTGGCTCAGCCCGAGCCACTGTGGGCATCTGGGGAGTGACCAGTGGATTGGAGGGCAGGCTGTCTGTTTCTCCCTCTGCCTTGCCCACTCTGTCTCTGATGCTCTTTGAAATAAATAAATAAATAAATCTTTAGAATACCCTGTCGTGGTGATGCAGGGTAAGCTGCTGCGTGTGACAAGTGACTCCCGTATCAGAGTTCGGGTTCAAGTCCCAGCTTTTCTCATCTGGCCTGCTTCCTCGTTCTCTCTCCCTCTCTCTTGCTCTGCCTTTCAAATAAATAAAAATAAATATCGTATAAAAGAATGATAAAAAGTAAATTAAGAAGTCTGTTAATGGGAGTCTTGGTCTCAGATGTAGTTGTTACCCAGGCTTTATCTGAGGTGATCTGTACCTTTGTTTTTTTTTTCTGGTAACATTTATTTTTAAGCTTGGGGCTAGCAATAATTTCTTTTTTCATGATATCAGTGATAAAGGTTAATATGTTAATGATAATTTTTATAGTTAGGTACTTTTGCCAATGACATTTTCTCTGAACTGATTTTTTTTTTCACTGTAGATTTCATGTTACATTGCAGAATGGTAAATGCATAATAATACATAATATCTCTTTCTTTTATACACAGATAGAGCTAATTGACAGAGTTGATGATATCTATCGGAACACTTCATGGGACAATGCGGGATTTAAAGGTTATGGAATACAGATAGAACAGGTACTTATCAATAGATATGGCTTATGTTACCCAGGGAAGTTATGCAGTGGAAATATTTGTCACTTGTATTCAGAACCCAGCTTGTCTTCAACATTAATCGTAAATATTCTCAAATGCCAGCAATGTTTTTCTGGTAAGTTGTGCAGTGTTTTCATAGATTATGGAGTTGGTTGTCTGAGCCTGTTTTAAGTCCTTTTGTGCTGCTGTGTTCTCTCCTTTCCGTTCTTTTATCCCTCTAGTGCGGTTCATTTTCTCAGATTATGCATGCAGTTTTAATTGAACTCCTCGCATGCGTCGTTGAATCCTTAGAACATTTACTAAATATACTGTGGAAGACCCTTACATATGCTGACTGTTAAGTCTCTTTCCCTGAATATCCTGGTTTCCTTGTAATCTGTTCATAGCTTGTCTAGCAATGAAATAATAATATCATCTTGATAATGTCTATAGTAAAATCGTCCCAAATTGCTGACTAGTTACTTTTGAAATTGATTATTGCTTTGAACAAAATTTAGACATTTTGATCTGTAAATTATATGTTTTTTTTCAATCTATTTGTATTAAACCCTATTTTTCCAGTTCTGTACTGTAATATAGAATTTAGAGGTCAAAGAAAGAGGTTTTTAATCATGCACCATACTCAGAAATGTTAAACTTTGATGGTACTTGCATAAAGCTAAGAATTATTTTTCCCTTTTCCATTCTCTTTTACCGTTTTGCATTTTCTTTTTAAAGTTATCATTTGATAGGTAATATAGACATGGTGCAAAAAAGCAGTGAAAAGTAAGTCTCCTCAGTCTTTGTCCTTCATCAAACCAGTCCCTTTCTCCAGAGCCATCCAGTCACTAGCTCTGTGCGTCTTGGCAGACATGTTGTGTGCTTGCACTGTTGTGTCTGTGGAATCTGTGACCCAGTGGCAGTGTGCTGTGTGCTTTTGCATCTTGCTTTCTCATCCCACAGTTGGTTGGAGATTATTCCATGTTGATGCATAGAAGTCTGTCCCACTCTTAAAGTATCTGCATCATGTTCAGGTTTAAGGGGACCACTGAAAGTCCTTTTTTGCCTTAGGAACTTGGGGCCCGTTGCAAACCTGGGAGTGATTTAGGAGATGAGACCTTCAGCTCCTTTACAGCTGCTCAGAGATGAATTGGAGGATGGGTCAGGATGTGCAGTCTTGGGGGGCTCCAGGTAGTTCCTCCCAGGATGGCCTTGAGCACCCGCCCTGAAAGCTGCAGAGCCTGCCCCAGCAAGCTTATCACTGGGTGGCAGGGCAGACCAGAACGGCCCTGCAGACAGGAGAGCAGGAGAGAGACCTCGGAACCCCTGAACTCCGTGCAGCTGCTGCCTTTGTCCCGAACTCGCTAATGTGAAGCTGATTACTTTTTTTTTCTTAAGTTTACTACAAATTTGTCTGAAATGCATGAACGAGAAGCCCCTATTCATAATCCTTGATTTCTGTGGTGCACGAAGTGATAGAATTCTTGTCATTATTCATTTCTAGATTGTAGACTGTGGTGGTAGTAAATATTTGAGGCTAATGTAATCCAAATTCTAATTTTTTTCCACGTAAATGGAGAGGATATGAAGATGTAATACATTTATACCTTTATAAGTAACTCACTGATGCCTGTGTTTTCCATACCATGTGCTTTCAGTTTGTTTTAAACATTGGCTCTTAGTGCTGATAATCTATGGAATTTTGAGTTCCGAAACTTTTTTCTAAAATGGGAGATGGTCTTTTTGTTTTGATCAGATAAAACAATCCAGTATTCAGAGTCCTGTGACTTTTTTCATAAGTGTTCTAAGTGTGTTATCTCTTCAAGTATAGATTCGCATTCTCAAGTCTCCGCAAGAGGTGAAACCTGGTGAACGGCACTATAACATGGCAAAAAGTTTCCCAAACGAAGAAAAGGATGCTTGGGATGTGAAGATGTTGCTGGAGGTAGGTTGTAGAATCCTGGATGTGATGCTGCTCACAACACTTTGATTTCTTTTATTTACATTTGTTTGTTCATTTGTTTAAAGATTTATTTAGTATTTGAAAGTCAGGGTTCCAAAGAGAGGAGAGACAGAGAGACAGGTCCTGCATCCTGATTCACTCCTCAAATGGTCGCAACGGCCAGGGCTGGGCCAGACCAAATCAGGAGCTGCTTCTGGTTGCTGAGGCCCAAGCACTTGGGGCATCCTCCACTGCTTTCCCAGGTGCATTAGTAGGACCTGGATCGGAAGTGGAGCAGCCAGTACTTGAACTAGCGCCATATGGGATGGCGGCTTAACCTCCTGCGCCACAGTGCTGGCTCACCACTTTGATTTCTAACATGGATCGCATCTGCATTCATACAGGCACCTCCACTGACCATCCACCCCCACTGACCAACAGCTGCCCCGTCCTCTGTAGCAGCACAGATGTCAGCTGGCAGAAATACGGGGGAAAGGTTACAAAGCAGGGTTTCTCTCTCTCTCTCTCGTTTTATTTAATTGTTTGAAAGGCAGAGTGAGAGACAGGAGAGATCTTCTGTCTGTCCATGGATTCACTGCCCAGAAACATCTGCCACAGCTGGAGCTGGGCCCCTCCAAAGTCAGGAGCCAGGAGCTTTTTCTGGGTCTCCCAGACCATGGCAGAGAGCTGGATCAGAAGTGGAGCAGCCGGGACTCGAACTGGCACCCATATTGGATGCTGGCACTGCAGGCAGCAGCCTTACTTGCCACGCCACAGCACCAGCCCCCTAGTGGATCTTTTAAGGCAATAATTATCAAACAGGCTATGAGTATGTATTGGACAGTAGAAACATAACTTGGGCAACTGGAAGTAAGGTTTAAAGTTTTTGTGTTTTCATTCCAGTATTAATGTAAAGATAGCTAACTTAATGTTGCTTTGTTGTGAAATTACTTTTGTGAAGTGATGGCGTCTGTCTCTTGATGTATTGGAAAATGTATTCGTTTCCTGTTGTGGTACTAGCAAATCAGCACAAATTTAGCTGGTTAGACAGAGCTTGTTATTTATCTCAGAGTTTCCATGGGTTCGTCCAGGCAGAGTCTGACTCATCTAGATTTTGTGCTTAAGGTCTCAAAAGGCCAAAGGCAAGTTTCCAAAGCTTGAATGGAATTAAAGTGTATTATCAATTCTTTTTTTTTTTTTTAAAGATTTATTTATTTGTTTGAAAGTCAGAATTAGAGACAGGGAGAGACAGATCTTCCCTCTGCTGGTTCACTCCCATATTGCCACGGTACCAGGTCTGGGCCAGGCCAGAGTGAGGAGCTTCATCCAGGTCTCCCGTGTGGGTGCAGGGGCTCAAGCACTTGGGCCATCCTCCACTGTTTTTCCCAAGTATATTAGCAGGGAGCTGGATTGGAAGTAGAGCAGCCAGGACTCAAACCAGTGCCCATGTGGGATGGCGGCACTGTGGACAGTGGCTTGCTGCCTCCTGTACTGTGAATTCTTTATCCAGATTGAGAACCATGCTGTCTGTAGTAGTTTGTGTGACACTCTGACACACCTGATCTGATTTGATCTGCCAGCGCTCGGAGGTAGCTGGAGATGGCACCGTTAGTCTCGTAAAGCCGCCGGCTGGTGTTTGTTGGTTGGCTCGGGCTGCCGTAAAGTGCCGCAGACTGGGGCTCCAACACCATGTGTTCACTTCTCGCTGTTCTGGAGGCCCCAAGTCCAGGCTCAGGGTGTTGGCAGAATTGGTTTCCTCTGGCTTCTCGCCTTGGCTTGTAGCAGCTCCCTCCCCTCTGTCTTCTCAGGGTCTCCCTGTGTCCCTGTGCTCTCTCCTGCACAGCAGGTGTCAGTCCTAGCAGATTAGGGCCCCCCACGATGCTCTTAATCACCTCAGTTAGCTATTTGCAGGGCCTGGCTCCAAAGGTGGTGTCCTGAGGTGAGTGTGAGTTCAGAGGGGCACAGGGCAGCCTGGAGGAGCAGGGTTAGACCACTGCTCCCGAGTGGTTCCTCAGCCCCGCCCGACTCCCAGACCCGCGGGACCACCACGCTGCTCTGCTTTCCCCTGGCCTCCAGCTGACCCCGTCAGGGGAGGCGCCAGCACGGAGAGCTGCCTGTGTGCTCCTCTCCACTGCTCTTCCCTAAGGCTCCTAGCAGATTCCTGAGGCCTCTTCCTGTCACCACAGAACTCCCAAAATCCCAGGGTGGCCACATGGCATCCCTCATGTAGGAGTTTCTGACCTCCCATTTCAGTATTTTAAAAATCAAGGCGTTTTAACTGGGAGTCTCTGGATTGCTCTGGTGGAGATCTTAAAGTGATAATGTGAAGCCCTTTTAAATTAAGGGGAAAAAATCTTCATGAACCGACAGTGTTGATTTAAAGGGATTTAAACTTTTTATTTTAGTAGCATAAAAGCAGATGTATAAGTTTTCCTATAAGTTTGTGTTTGTAACACCTGTATGTCATAAAGTTTAAGATTGATTTATTTATTCAAAAGACAGAGTGGCAGAGAGAGAGAGAGGTTTTCCATCCGCTGGTTCACTCCCCCGTTGGCTGCAAAGGCCAGAGCTGCGCCAGTCCAAAGCCAGGAGCCAGGAGCTTCTTCCAGATCTCCCACTTTGGCCATCTTCCACTGCTTTCCTGGGCCATAGCAGAGAGCTGGATATTGGAAGTGGAGCAGCTGGGACTTGAACCAGCGCCCATATGGGATGCTGACGCCTCAGGCCAGGGTGTCAACCCTCTGCGCCACAGCGCCAGCCCCTCCAGTTGTACTCCCGAAGTACTTTTGCGGGATCTGTTTTGGCCTGGGTGCTGTGACCCCCTTGCAGAATTGAAAGATTGCCAGAGTCGGGCTGGGTGGGCTCAGGACGGCCTTGGCGGGAGCAGGGAGTGGGTCTGAACAGCTGGCCGGGCCTCCGCGCGCGGCCTTTGTGCGGCCGTCAGATGGCAGGCTCTGCTGTTCCTTGTGCAGCTGGGAGAGCTCCTGGGAGAAGCACCTCTGTTCAGGGTTGTGCTCGCTGGTGCGGAACTCCAGGCCTGGCGCCGTTCTTCAGTGGGAACACTGCTGTACATGTCAGCCTAATGCAGAAATGCCTTTTTTTTTTTTTAAAGCAATTTAGCTTTGATATTGCTGAAGAAGCGTCTAAAGTCTGCCTGGCGCACCTTTTCACTTACCAGGATTTTGATATGGGAACTCTAGGACTGGCTTACGTCGGTTCTCCCCGAGCAAACAGTCATGGAGGTGTTTGTCCAAAGGGTAAGGCTTTCCGTTTATGTGCTCACGGTGCTGGAGTAGGCACACTGACATCGGCATTAAACGGTTTGCTGCTTTTCCTTTTGCCTTTAGCTTATTATAGTCCAGTGGGGAAGAAAAATATCTATTTGAACAGTGGTTTGACCAGCACCAAAAATTATGGTAAAACCATCCTTACAAAGGTAAGTTCTTTTTAAAAAGGATAAATTTGGAATTTTTGTATTACAGCCTCTTTTACAGTATACTTAAATATCTTTAAAAGAAATAATATGTACTTTTAAAAAATACATGATTTTTAATGAGAAATATGAAAGTTAAAGAGAAGTATACCGAGGAGGATAAATCCGCCTGTCTGCCTTGGTGGTTTTCTGGGAGCGCCGCTCCTGGCGCCCCGTCCCGCAGCTGCTCCGGGCGCCTCACCTCCTGGTCCTGCAGCGCAGCTGTAGTTGGGAGGGGGCCGCACCGACGCGGGCCCTGGAGGAGGCACAGGTGGGAGCGGTGAGCTGTTGTTTATCCACACCACGCTGCAGGCTTGGAATGTCCAGTGTCTGGGGCTTTATTATGAATATTCTAGTACATCTTGTAAGTTCTATTTCTCTAAAATTGATTTAAGTAAACCTTTATAGTACTTTAATTGTACAGGCTGCACACACACCCTTAATCTGAAAATTTGAAATCTGAAATGTACCAAAATTCAGAAGTTTTTGGAGATGAACAAGCAGAAAATCCATACTGTGAAACCTTGTTCATGCATACATTTAAAGCATTGGTGTAAAGTTACTCTGTGTGTTTAAGGTGTATATGAAACATAAATGGATTTTGTGTTTAGACCAAGATATATCATTATGTAATACACATATTCCAGAATTTAAAAAAAAAAATCCCATATCCTGAACTCTTCTGGTCCCAACACTCTGGTTAAAGGATGCTCATCCTGAACTAAATAGAAGGCCATGTACTCTGCTTAGTTTCTGTAATTGTAGAAGAAATTTTGATTGCTTGTTACTCTTCTGTTCATGTGACTGAAGATAAGAGCACAGGCCCCGCTGGCCAGTGCAGCTGGTTGAAGGTGGGAGCTAATGTTTTCTTTGTATCACCCGTAAGGAGGCCGACCTGGTTACAACTCATGAGCTGGGACACAACTTTGGAGCAGAGCACGATCCTGATGGTCTGGCAGAATGTGCTCCGAACGAGGACCAGGGTGGAAAGTATGTCATGTACCCCATCGCTGTGAGTGGGGACCATGAGAACAACAAGGTATGCCCGCTGGGGCTCGGTGCTGTCGGGAAGGGCGGAGACAGTGACATCGTGATGAGCGCTCAGAGGGATGGAGCTGCAGGTCACAAAGCACCCTGACACTAAGCGCGGCCCCCCAGAGCTGTAGGCCTGGGCTGTAATAACGACTCCTGTCAACTCTAGGCTTGAGGGTTTTGCTGACTCACGCTTGTATTAAAAACTTCTAGTCATTTATAAGTTGTTATTCAATGTAGCTCTACAGTACTTCACAGTTTGCATATTTTCATTAACTTTTACAATAAAACACAAGCTGTTTGCCAGATGGCAGGCCTCGTGTGGGGAAGGCGCTTGTCTGTCTTGTTTGCACCTCTGTCTCCAGCGCCGGCAGGAGTACCTGGAACATGATACATATTTGTTGAATAGACACATGAACCAAGTTACTGCTGAGTTCTGATGAAGTACACTACTTGAAGTTTGGATGTTGTGGCACAGTGGGTTAAGCCACCTCTTCTGATGCCTACATCCTGTATCTGAGTGCTGGTTCAGGTTGCGGCTCCCCACTTCCAGTCCAGCTCCCTGCTAACGCATGGTAGGCAGCAGATCATTGCTCAAGTGCCTGGGCCCCTGCCACCCTGGCCTAGCCCAGCCCTGGCTATTGAGGGGGTTTGGGGAGTGAACCACTAAATGGAAGATTCTCTCTCTTTCTTTCTCTTTCAAATAAATAAATAAATCTTTCTTTTTTTGTATTTTTTAAAGATTTTTTGTATTTATTTGATAGGCAGACCTGGGGCCGCCACTGAGGCAGAGTGGGTGAATGCCGCGGCCTGAAGTGCTGGCATCCCATACGGGCACTGGTTCAAGTCCTGGCTGCTTCTCTTCCGATCCAGCTCTCTGCTATGGGCTGGAATAGCAGCAGAAGGTGGCCCAAGTCCTTGAGCCCCTGCACCCACATAGGAGACCTGGAAGAAGCTCCTGGCTTTGGATCTGCACAGCTCTGGCCATTGTGGCCATCTGGGGAGCGAATCAGTGGATGGAAGACCTCTCTCTGTCTCTACCTCTTGCTGTAACTGTCTGTCTGTTTTTTTTTTTTTTTTTTTGACAGGCAGAGTGGACAGTGAGAGAGAGAGACAGAGAGAAAGGTCTTCCTTTGCCGTTGGTTCACCCTCCAATGGCCGCCGCGGCTGGCGCGCTGCGGCCGGCCGGCGCACCGCGCTGATCCGATGGCAGGAGCCAGGAGCCAGGTGCTTTTCCTGGTCTCCCATGGGGTGCAGGGCCCAAGCACTTGGGCCATCCTCCACTGCACTCCCTGGCCACAGCAGAAAGCTGGCCTGGAAGAGGGGCAACCGGGACAGAATCCGGCGCCCCGACCGGGACTAGAACCCGGTGTGCCAGCGCCGCTAGGCGGAGGATTAGCCTAGTGAGCCGCGGCGCCGGCCACTGTCTTTCAAATAAATAAAATAAATCTTAAAAAAAAAAAAAAAAAGCCAAAGAAACAAAAAAAAAAAAAAAAGAAAGAAAAGCAGACCTATAGAGGGGGGGAGACAGAGCGAGGTCTACCATCCACTGCTTTATTCCCCAAATGGCTGCAATGTCCAGTGCTGAGCCAGGTAAGAACTAGGAGCTTCATCCAGGTCCCCCACGTGGGTGTGGGCCCAAGCACCTGCGGATCTTCTGCTGCTTTCCCAAGCATACTGGCAGGGAGCTGGATTCGAAATGGAGAAGCCGGGACTTGAACTGGTGCCCATGTGGGATGCCGGCACCACAGGTACCAATTACACCACAGCACCTACCCCAGTAAATAAATTTTTTAAGCAATAATCATTAAAATGAGAAAAGGTAAGCCTTAATAAAACTCAGAAAGCACACAACTACTGTGGGAATCCAGGTGAAATGGTGACGATACGCACGGACCGTGAAGCAGTGAGTGGTGACTGTTGAAACTGGCGAGTGGCCCGAGGTTGCTGACCTGCCTTCCTGTCCACTTTACAGACATTTGCGCATTCCTGTAATAAAAAGAGGAAAAATGAGGCCGGCGCCGCGGCTCACTAGGCTAATCCTCCGCCTAGCGGCGCTGGCACACCGGGTTCTAGTCCCGGTCGGGGCGCCGGATTCTGTCCCGGTTGCCCCTCTTCCAGGCCAGCCCTCTGCTGTGGCCAGGGAGTGCAGTGGAGGATGGCCCAAGTGCTTGGGCCCTGCACCCCATGGGAGACCAGGAAAAGCACCTGGCTCCTGGCTCCTGCCATCGGATCAGCGCGGTGCGCCGGCTGCAGCGCGCCGGCCGTGGCGGCCATTGGAGGGTGAACCAACGGCAAAGGAAGACCTTTTTCTCTGTCTCTCTCTCTCTCACTGTCCACTCTGCCTGTCAAAAAAAAAAGAAAGAAAAAAAAAAAAGAAAAATGTGCCAGTGTTGTGGCACAGTAGATTGAATGGCCACTTGGGCACCCCTGTCCCATATCACAGTGCTGGTTCGCTGATGACTCCACTTCTGATCCAGCTCTCTGCTGATGAGCCTGGGAAGGCAGTGGGAGATGGCTCAGGTGCTTGCGTCCCTGCGTCCCGTGTGGGGAACTCGGCAGCTCCTCGTTCCCGACTTCAGCCTGCCTAGCCCCTGGCTGCTCTGTTTATGAGGCGAATCGTGGAGGAGGATCTTCCTCTGTGCCTCCCCTCTCTCTGTTGCTCTGCCTCTCAAATAAATAAACATGGTTTCTCTTTTTTAGTGGAAAATACGTGACTAGGGGAACAGTTAAATCGCCACCTGTGGTTGACGGCTGCCGTGTAGTGTGGGGCCTGCAGGCGACCTGTCCCCTGCCCCGTGGCTCTGAGGCTGTGGTCAGACTCTCGGGGCGACATGCATGTGGCTGCCGTCCTGCTGCGAGTCTTTCCAGGCGGGTTTCCCTGGGATGAGCAGGGAGCCTGGTGAAGCTGGTTGTTTCTGGAGCCGCTGGTCTAAATCATCAGAGATGAGTTTATTTTGTCCTGAGGACATCTTTAGTTATTTTCTAAGAATCACATTGATTTGAGAGGCAGAGAGGGAGAGTAAGCGAGCGCTCCTGTCCACTGGTTCTCCTCCCAAGTGCTGCTGGGACTGGGCCAGACAGAAGGTGGAAGCCAGGAATTCCTTCCAGGCTGCCCCGTGAGTGATAGGGACCCAACTCCTGGAGCCAGCATTGCCCCTCGCAGGGACCCACACAATTGGGCCATCTTCCGCTGCTCTTCCCAGGCTGTTAGCAGGGAGCTGGATCAGAAGTGGAGCACCCAGGACTTGAACAGTGCCCATGTAGGATGCTTGCATTGCAGGCGGTGGCTTTACCCGCTGTGCCGTGGCATGGAACTGGCTCCAGACAGCTAAAAACCTTTAAACACGGATCATCCGGCTCATGGTAGCCAGGGGAAGGGAAGGGGGTGAGCCAGAACGGGCCCCTTCTGCAGCCCTGGATCAGTCTGTCTGAGGGCAGTTTCTCCCTAGTTCTCCTGTCAACACCGGGGTGAGGGGGACGTGCGTGCGGCCGCAGGGAGCGTCACGTCTGGTGGAGTTCACAGTTGTGCTTTAGGCCGGGCCTTGTCCCTGGCAGTGGCAGTGGCGGAGACGTTTGGTCTCCGTGTTTGTGCACTTGACTGCGTGTGCCAGCTACTCAGCAGCCTGTGGAGAGTGACATTCGGTCCACAGGAGGGCACTGGGGGCAGCTGGTGGCTCGGCCGTGGCTCCGGGGTGTCACCGCTGGTCATGTTGCATGAACCGTGTGTCCCTAGAGAAGAAAAGTGACGTGTTGGTTACTGGGGCCCTTTTTCTCTTCAGCTGTTCTCAAACTGCAGCAAGCAGTCCATCTATAAGACCATCGAGAGTAAGGCCCAGGAGTGCTTCCAGGAGCGCAGCAACAAGGTGTGCGGGAACTCCAGGGTGGACGAGGGGGAGGAGTGCGACCCCGGCATCATGCACCTCAGCAGCGACTCGTGCTGCAACAGCGACTGCACCTTGAAGCAGGGCGTCCAGTGCAGGTGAGGAGGCTCGTGGAGCCTGGAACAGAAGACTGAGCGCGCGTGCGCGGTGGGGTCAGCCAGCGTGTGTGCGCCTGTGTCCATTGAGGATGACTGTGCACCAGTCAGACGTCAGTCCTAGGGTATGAGTCGCGTGCAGAGTGATAGTGCAGCGTCCGTAACGACATGCACTGAGGGTGGCGCTGTGGAAGGCCCGCGCTTCCATTTTTCTTTGCACAGCTAGATCAGTGCTTGGCTTAGAAGGGGAAGCTTTTATCCATGGTGAGCAAAGGAGACATCCTGACCCTGAAAATACCGACGGGCAGGCTCCGGCCACTGCTGTCTCGGCCACCGACGTCTTCCTGTTTTTAATGAACATCTTACTGCACGCTGGGGAGATGTTGTAGAGGTGGGCGCTCTGTGAAACCGTGCTTCTCTGCTAAGCGTGGAATTGAGGTTGCTTCCGGCACGTGAGGAGGGACGGTCGGTTTGTGCTGTGGCTGCAGCTGCGTGGGAGTCTGATTTTGCAGCAGTGGGGTGACCTCTGAGCGCTGTGCCGGCCTCTGTGCTGTCACGATGTGTGTTGAGCGTTCCCTGTCTTCACAGTGACAGGAACAGCCCTTGCTGTAAACACTGTCGGTTCGAGACTTCGCAGAAGAAGTGCCAGGAGGCTATCAATGCCACGTGCAAAGGCGTGTCCTACTGCACAGGTACGGGCGGGAACCCTGGCCTCGCTGTCCATGAGGCACTCGCTTTTTTTCTTTTTGATGAGAGCACTGGAGGACAGGGGCTCCGTGCCTCAGCGTGCTAATGGGTCTTTGCCACCAGGGAACAGCAGTGAGTGCCCGCCCCCAGGAAATGCCGAAGATGACACAGTTTGCCTGGACCTGGGCAAGTGTAAGGATGGCAAGTGTGTCCCCTTCTGTGAGAGGGAGCAGCAGCTGGAGTCCTGTGCGTGCAATGGTGAGTGCGTGGGGGAGACGGGCGCTGGCTGCCGGGCCCCTTCCCCCGGGTGGAGGCCCGCCCGTGACTGCTGCCCAGAGCGGTGGCAAGAAGCAGACTGGGACCAGGCAGGAGGGGGGGCAGTGTGTACAGGCTGACCTCTGCCCCCAGCTGCACCCATGTGAAAATGGTCTGGCTATCTTGCTACAGTTCAGACGTAGCAGGCTCTGGGGGAGGGTAGGCGGAGTGTTGGAGTGGGCAGATGGAGTGCACGTCTGTCCTCACCGCCTCTCTGTGTCATACAAATCAGAGTAGCGTTGAGAATTCCAGGGTCCGCTTCCACCAAAGTGGATTTTTGCTGTTGTCAGCAGAGCTGGGCCCGCTGCCTTGGGTCCCTGCCAGGGCAGCCGGGAGCAGGAGCCTCTCACGCTGGCCTCGGACTGCTCTGAGGTTCGTCTCCAGGCTGTCTTCGGAGCCCTCGGGTCGGAGCAGGGCCTTCGGGCACTGGCTGGGTTCTGGCTCCCACCCACTTCGGACTTGGAGTGGCTAAGGTGGTGCTGCCGACTCCCTCACCGGGAGCTGCCCGCCCCGTGGGGGATGGAGCCAGGAGCACATAGTGGTTGCCAAGTGAGTCGCTCACTGAGTGGAAGCAGGGGCTGAGGGAGCCCTGGGAAGACCGGCAGTCACAGGAAGTGCCCAAGCGATGTCAGACGAGGGGACGGTGGGAGGTGTCTCTGCCTTGCTTCTGTGTTCTGCCTGATTTCGTTTCCCTGAGCGTGCATGTAGACTTCCCCTGGGTCAGAGTCTCCCCGCGGTTCCACTGCAAGGTTAATTTTTGGCATTTTTGCTGTTGGTGCATGTGCCTGTGCAGCTCATCTGATGCCCAGCTGTTGTCCCCCGACCCCTGTACCCTCAACTGCTCTTGGAGGGTCGCTGAGCGTGGGCTGTGGGACTCGCGTCGCTGGGCTCGCCGTGGCAGGCAGACACATCGCTCACACTCCGGCCTGCAGGAGCCGGCGTGGCTGTGTGGGGCGTCCTCCGCACACAGCAGCTGCAGATCCGAGTCCGTGTAGTGAGAACGCCGGGCCGAGGGACGCGGCCGGACATGAGCCCTGGGGAAGGGGTCAGGAGGGACGCAGGCGTCTCTTTCCCGGCCTTTGTGGCCTGTGTGGCTCTGAGGGCTGCGGAGTGAACTGGGACGTGGTTGTGGCGGTGTTAGCGTTTGGAATGGGGGGGCAGTGTGGTCGGGGAGCGAGGGGTGCAGAGCTGGGCCTGTTGTGTTTCAGAGACGGAGAACTCGTGCAAGGTGTGCTGCAGGGACCCCTCTGGGCGCTGCGTGCCCTACGTGGACGCGGAGCAGAAGAACCTGTTCCTGAGGAAGGGCAAGCCCTGCACCGTAGGGTTCTGCGACATGAACGTGAGTGCGCGCTCGGGCTGGGGGGGAGGGGGGGTCACGTGTGCACGCCTGCAAACGAGGAAGTGAAAGCACACGCAGAGCTGCAGACGCGGCGTCTTCCCCGGCCTGCTTACCTGCGGGTCGAGGTGCAGGTCAGCGCCACTGCAGCTGCAAGGCCACCGCCCAGGCCAGCGGAGATCGTGCCCTGCGAGGGTGGCTGGGCCCAGACGGGGCCCAGACAAGGGCAGGACCCGGCACTTGGTGGTGAAGTTGGTTGCTTTCAGCAGTGGCTCTTCTCTTTTTATTTTTTAAAAGTTTTTAAAGATTTATTTATTTGAAAGACCAGGTTAGAGGGAGAAATGAAGTAGTATCTTCATCAACTGGTTCCCTCCCCAGATGGCCACAATGGCTGGGGCTGTGCCAGGTGAAGCCAGGAGCCTAGAACGCCATCCTCGTCTCCTACGTGGGTGACAGGGGCCCAAGCACTTGAGCCATTTTCCATTGCTTTCCCAGGGACATCAGCGGGAAGCTGGATCAGAAGTGGAGCAACTGGGACTGGCACTTCTGTGGGATGCTGGGATTGCAGGCAGCAGCTTAACCCACTGTGCCACAGCATTGGCCCCTCAGCAGCAGAGTTTTTTTTAAGGTTTATTTATTTTATTTGAAAGGCAGAGTCAGAGAGGTCTCCCATCCGCTGATTCACTCCCCGGATGGCTGCAACTGCTGGGGCTGAGCCAGGCTGGAGCCTGGAGCCAGGAGCCTCTTCCAGGTCTCTCACACGGGTGCAGGGCCCAAGCACTTGGGCCACCTTCTCCTGCTTTCCCAGGCCATAGCAGGGAGCTGGATCGGAAGAGGGGCAGCCAGGACTAGAACCAGCACCCATATGGGATCCTGGTACTGCAGGCAGTAGCTTTACCCACTATGCCACAGCGCCGGCCCCAGCAGAGGTTTTTTTTTTTTTTTTTTTTTGACCGGCAGAGTGGACAGTGAGAGCGAGAGACAGAGAGAAAGGTCTTCCTTTGCCATTGGGTCACCCTCCAATGGCCGCGGCTGGCACACCGCGCTGATCCGAAGGCAGTAGCCATGTGCTTCTCCTGGTCTCCCATGGGGTACAGGGCCCAAGGACTTGGGCCATCCTCCACTGCACTCCCGGGCCACAGCAGAGAGCTGGCCTGGAAGAGGAGCAACCAGGACAGAATCCAGTGCCCCGACCGGGACTAGAACCCGGTGTGCCGGCGCCGCAGGGGGAGGATTAGCCTAGTGAGCCGCGGCGCTGGCCAGAATTTTTTTTTTTTTTTTTTTTTCAGTAGAACATAGTTTTATTCATGTGGATGATGGGTAAGGATCGCAAGGATCAGACAAACTTGTGAAGCTCTGTTTGACAGTGTTGTCCATCTCACATTACCCATCTTTGGGAGACTGATTTTTCTCTTTTTTTAGATTTATTTATTTATTTATTTGAAAGGTAGATTTATAGATAGAGAAGCCAAGAGCTTCTTCTGGGTCTCCCAAGTTGGTGCAGGGGCCCAAAGACTTGGACCATCTTCCCCTGCATACCTAGGCACAGTAGAAGGGACTGAAAGTGGAGCAGCCATGGCCGGCGCCGCGGCTCACTAGGCTAATCCTCCCCCTGCGGCGCCGGCACACCGGGTTCTAGTCCCGGTTGGGGCGCCGGATTCTGTCCTGGTTGCTCCTCTTCCAGTCCAGCTCTCTGCTGTGGCCCGGGAGTGCAGTGGAGGATGGCCCAAGTGCTTGGGCCCTGCACCCCATGGGAGACCAGGAGAAGCACCTGGCTCTGGCTTTGGATCGGCGCAGCGCTTCAGCCACAGTGGCCATTTGGGGAGTGAACCAATAGAAGGAAGACCTTTCTCTCTGTCTCTCTCACTGTCTAACTCTGCCTGTTTAAAAAAAAAAAAAAGAAAAGAAAAAAAAGTGGAGCAGCCAGACCTTGAACCGTTGCCATATGGATGCCAGTGTCATAGGTGGTGACTTAACCTGCTGTGCCACAAGGCTGGCCCCCAAACTGGTTTTCTTGAGTTTTATCTCCTGGTGATTCTAAATTCACTTCTGCAAATGGACTAATTGTGATTGTGTCAGAACAGTATAGCCTCACTTGAGTACTGATGTGTGTACACACAGTAACACACATCCACTTGAAAGACAGGACACACGGAGACAGAGCAGCGGCACCCACTGCCTCTGTCCACTGATTTACTCCTCAAGTTCCTGTAACAGCGAGGGCTGGGCCAGGCTGGAGCCAGGAGCCAGGATCTCTCTCTAGGTCTCCTGTGTGGGTGGCAGGGGCCCAAGTACTTGAACTTCCATCTACTGCCTCGCACAGTGCATTAGCAGAGTGTTCTGATGGGGGGCGGTGTCCCCAGCAGTGGCGATGCCACAGCGCCTGCATCGACGTCACTGCCTTCCGTCAGATGGGCCCCTACGCCGCCGATCGTAATGAAGTCAAGACCATTCCTACGTGTGTTGCTTTTAGGGGTGATGCCTCACGTGTTTTCTTTGTAGGGCAAGTGTGAAAAACGCGTGCAGGATGTAATTGAGCGGTTTTGGGATTTCATTGACCAGCTGAGCATCAACACTTTCGGTAGGTGATGGCCCCGCTGGAGAGGTGTGGTGTCCGGTCTGGGCCCCTTCCTGCGGAAGCGGGCCTGCTCACCACTTCCGTGAACACGCGTCTCGGGTGGGTCTCGGGATCTGCACAAGGAGGTGACTGTACTCTCAAGACTCCGCAGTGTAATCCGAAATCACACCCAGAAACAGGGCGGCGCTGTCCTAGGCACCCCCAGCCTTGGTAGCAGCGTCTCCGTGGTTGTGGTCGGCGTGCTGACCGCGACGCCGGGGTCTGCTGTGCCGGGGCGGCCGCGCCCTCCTGAGGAGCGCGTGGACAGGCCTCACGACCACGACAGCAGTGGTGACAGGTGGCAGTCTCGTGGCCCTCGACACAGCAGGATCATGTTCCAAGAGCATTTGATTTCGGGTTTACGAGGTGAAGCACTTGCTCGAAACACTCACTCGTCCCCTGTTCGGATTTTCGCAGGAAAGTTCTTAGCAGACAACATCGTAGGGTCCGTCCTGGTCTTCTCCTTGATATTCTGGATTCCTTTCAGCATTCTTGTCCATTGTGTGGTAAGTCGCCATTTTTAAATGTTCGTTTTTAGCTGTTGAAAAGGCAGAGCAATAGAAGGAGGAAGGAGATTCTTCATGCAATGGTTCACTCTGCAGATGCCCCCAACAGCCAGGGCTGGGCCAGGCTTCCTGTGGGTCTCCCCTGGGCGGCAGGGGCCCAGGACTCGAGCCACCCGTCCGCTGTGGAGGTGGCTGATGCTCAAGCCAGCACCCCCGTATGCTGTGGGTGTTCCGAAAGGTGACTGAACCTGTCGCACCACCACCCACCCCACATCAGCAGCTTGTGTTTTTTTTTTTTTTAAGATTGATTTTTTATTTTTAAAGATTTATTTATTTTGTTTGAAAGTCAGATTTACAGAGAGAATAAGAGAGAGAAAGAGAGATCTTCATCCATTCGGGTGCAATGGCCGGTGCTGTGCCACTCTAAAGCCAGCAGCCAGGAGCCAGGAGCTTCTTCCGGGTCTCCCACGCGGGTGCAGGGGCCCAAGCACTTGGGTCATCCTCCACTGCTTTCCCAGGCCACAGCAGAGAGCTGGATGGGAAGTGGAGCAGCTGGGACTTGAACTGGCACCCACATGGGATGCCGACGCCACAGGTGGCAGTTTTACCCGCTAGGCCACAGCGCCGGACCAAGCACCGACTTTTAAGTAATTCAGCATTTCATGAAATTGCTGCAGAATCCCAACCATGTGTTTTTTGGAAAAGGTAGAAATTTGTTAGCAGAGTGTGACCTGCTGTTTCCAGTGACATTCCTTGGTTAACCCTGAAGAGCTTGTCTAGGACAAAGCTGAACAAGCAGTTCTTGAAGACACCATTTGTGTGTGGGTGGCTGTGTACTCCGCGCGGTGCTGCAGGACTGGCGGGGCGGTCAGGACTCCCGGCCCCGCGTCAGCAGCCCGTCTCCTCCCTGGCCCTCGTCGCCTCCAGCTTCCTGCCGTGCAGAGCAGGGGCTCAGCTGCTGGGCCCTTGCCCTTCCCGTGGGAGAGCTGGGCTGCTCCCGGCGTGCACCCCTACCTGAGGGCATCTGGAGAGTTCTGTCTCTCAAAGAAGCGTGTGTGGAAAATGGAGTTGAAAGATAGTGTGCATTTCCATGAACTTTTTGAAGACTTCTTGTAAAATTTCTTAGAAATTGTGTACTTCCAAGTACAGAAGGCAGGTCAAGTGGATGTGTCTAAGATCTCTGGGTGAACAGCGTTTTCAGGGTGACTTTGTTACAACGGCGAATACCAACCGTCAGCCTTTCAGAGGTGTTCCCCGCGCACCTTACAGATTCTCGGCATTACCCTGGGGGTGTTCCGGTCCACAGCAGCGTACGGGTGGGCAGACCTTCCACCCTCACGCAGAACGGGCGGCGGCCGTGACCGCACTGGGCGTCTGAGGAGCTCTTCTCAAACCTCGTCTCCCACGTCACTTCTCTCCTAAACGTGGGGGGTGGGCGCGGAGGCTGTGGCGTGCGCCCCTCTGAGGGGGAGCCCCTGCCCAGCTGCCGGGACAGAGGCCTGGCCCTGCCCTCCGCCTCTCCCCTCCTCGCCTGCTGCTCTTGCCTGGGGCCCCTTGAACAGCCCTTCCTGGGGCTGGCGGGAAGAGTCGCGACTGTCACCACGCCTGTCCTCGAGCGGCCGTGCTGGGGACGTGCAGAGTGACGTGCAGGGGTGACGGCCCCTTGTCACCAGCCGCACCTCAGCGGCAGCCAGCAGCCAGGGACAGCTGCCTTCTCGGGAGACGTCGCTCAGAAAGCAGCTCTCAGAGGCGCCCGTTCTCTCAGTGCCAGAACCTTCCTCGGGCCGCCCTGCAGAGCGTTGCCTGCGGTCCCCCCGCACCCACCGCAGCCGAGTGGCCTGCCAGGACGGACGGCGTCAGGCTCAGGGCTGTGTAGGGGTGACCTCGTCTTGCTCTTCCTTTCCAGGATAAGAAGCTGGACAAGCAGTATGAGTCCCTGTCGCTGTTTCACCCGAGTGTGAGTATCCGCAAGTGTGGACAGAACTTCCCACGGGCATGGGGCCAGCCGTCGCACTCACGGCGAGGCCTCGCAGCAGCACATGGCGAGGGTGGGAACCTTTTTCTGCCAAGGGCCACTGGATATTTAAACACCGACCGTGGGCCATGCGAACTCACCAGCTCAAAGATCGGCCTGCTCTAGGTTGGCTGGGTTTTGAGTCCTCCCCGCGGCTGCCTTGGCAGGGCCAAACCAAATGATCCTCCCCGCGGAGGAGGGTGGAGGCTGGCGGCAGCTGTCCTGAGAGCAGTGACTTCTGATGGCTTCGGGTCCTCTTGGCGGGGTACGTCAGGTTAGGTTGTTGGAGCTCCTCGGGCTGAGTGAGCCTCACTCAGGGCTTCCCTGAGCACGGGGACCACAGCGCAGACAGGGCGGGGGGAGCTGGGAGGAGCTTTGAGTCCCCGTTGACTCCCATCAGTTAACGCCTCGTCTTTCCAGAACGTGGAAATGCTAAGCAGCATGGATTCCGCGTCGGTGCGCATCATCAAGCCCCTCCCCGCCCCGCAGACCCCAGGCCGCCTGCAGCCCCTGCAGGCCGTCCCTGCGATGCCCCCTGTACCCGTGGCTCCGAAGCCGGACCACCAGAGAATGGACACCATCCAGGAAGACCCCAGCACGGACTCGCACGTGGACGAGGACGGCTTTGAGAAAGACCCCTTTCCCAACAGCAGCGCGGCCGCCAAGTCCTTCGAGGACCTCACAGACCACCCTGTGACCAGGAGCGAGAAGGCCGCCTCCTTCAAGCTGCAGCGGCAGAGCCGTGTGGACAGCAAGGAGACGGAGTGCTAGTGCAGGGCCGCGTGAGCCCCGGGCTCCGGTGTGCCCGTGTGTAGGTGGGACCTGAAGTCGCAGCAGGCACCTGTGAAGTTCTGGGCGACCCCAGGAGTGGCCTCGCAGCAGATGCCCGTCACAGGTTCAGGGACTGCTCGGGCCGCCCGCCCCGCCCCCTGCTGGAGAGGTCAGGTGCATCTAGCTTATTTTGAGGCTTTCAGGTTTTAGTTCCTAATCATTAAAGTGTCCCTGGACCTGTGGTACCAAAGCAGAAATACAGCTGGATGATGTCAGATATTTACGTTTTTGTAAATTAACCCTTTGTGTTGCTAACAGCACTGATGAGCAAGCTGATCTGATGTTTCTACACTGTAATGGTCCACTGTGGTGTTGAGTTACTTGTGAGGACGACTGGAACAGTTATTTATTTTTTTGCCTTAAAGGAGATAAAGCTATTTCTACATTATCTCCAAAACGTGGGTCTTCTATCTGGTGTTACCCATGTCGGCAGCATGCGGAGAGAATCGGAGTTAATGTGGCTCTGGAACGTTCTAGACCACGTGGAGCTGCAGACGGCACTCCTGCCTGTCTGAGGACTCCAGCGTGCTGGGCGGTCTCTGTGTAGTCTCGTCCGCCCAATACCACGCGATGCTCGGGGAAAAAGTTCCCAGGAGTCCGGCTGGCTGTGTTCCAACACTAGTGGGGAAGTGTTTCTCCCGTAGAAACAGACCTCTCTGCGCAGGCCAGGGCGTGCTGAGCCGGCCAGGAGGGGCGCGCAGCAGGGCCCAGCCCGGAACGCCCAGGGGCTCTGCACCGCCTGCCCCGTCACTGCTCCAGGACGCCTGTGTGGAGGACAGGCGCGTCAGTCCAAAGTCTGGTCTACAGTTACCGTTGGGAGCTCTTTCCTATAGCCAGCACATCTTGACCAAGGTAACTCTCAGACCTTGAGGGCAGTTAACCAAACCTGTGACAAATCATGCCTCCCCCACCCCCACGTTTGTTACCCAGATACTTGTCATACTTGTTACACTAATACTTGAACGTGTACCTTACGGTATTTCCTGTCCTTTACCTTGTCATGATATCCTTGTATTTTCGCTGTACTTTCAGAGTTTGATGCAAAGTGAGTGAGGTGTGTGGGTATATGTATGAGTGAAACTGTTCTTAGCAGAATGTAAGGACATTTTTTATAAAATTGTTGACTTTTTACAAAACCAGAATTGTCTTTTTTGCCACTTACGGAATTAACAAGCTGCTCAGGGTATGTTTTATAGCTGTGGCACTGACGATACCCGCATCGATCAATAAATACTTAGTACCAGAGCCAACGTGACCCAAGTAGAAAGCATCCCTGAGAAACCCCGATGCTTTATTAGAGCGGCGGCGGCGGCTCAGCCTTGGGCAGGCACTGCTGGTCGCTCCCTGGGATCCACTCCGCGCCCGCAGCCGCCGTGCCTTGCCGTGCGCGGCTAGTGGTCTCCGTCTCCCAGCAGACTGAGTTCCGGCTTCGCGTCTGCCACATCCTGCCAGTGAGGAAGCAGCAGGGGCAGGGACGCGACCTTCCCCTCGATCAGGGGCCAGAGGTGCGAGAACAGGAACTCACTTCCCTCTGGGGACAGATGCAGCCCGTCCGACAGGTAGGCGGAGAAGTCCTGGCGGGGGAGAGCAGAGTGAAAGGCCCTAAAGTGTATCAGAAAGTCGGCCCCCGGCTTGGGCCACAGGTGAGTCGGGGGCTCAGGCACACGGACACCTTCCTGGGGCTGTGGGGTGGGCCGCGGCCTTGTCCTGTGGCTCTTGGGTGACGGTCCATCCACGGACGTGAAAACGCACGTGCCTTTGCCTCGCAGTCGCCTACAGATCGGCAAGTCGGTAGGCACAAGAACGCGCACTGTCTGGCCCCCCTTAGCTCGAGACGGCTCACCCCGGAGCCCCCCTCCCAGTGAGCGCTCCCCTCCTCAGCCTCGTACACCCTGGGTGGAGTGAGGACTCGACTCTCCCATCACACCTGCCCCCAGGCCTCGGGTGACCTCTCAGGAAGGGCTCAGCTCTGGAATCCCAGCGCGGTGAAGTGAAAAGGACGCGTGACCGGCACCCGCCGTTTGTGTTCAAGCGAGCTGCCGAGCCCCCGGCCCAGCCGGGAAGGTGCTAGACGAGACAGGAGCCTGGCGGCCAGGGCTGCTCGCCGCAGAGCTGCTGGCAGAACTGGCTGCCATTCGCTGTTCCTGGCGTGCAGCAAGTGTGGAAGTGTGGACAGCTACCAGGCTGCTGTGGGTAGGAATTACGGGGGGACTGGCGCTGTGGCATAGCAGGTAGAGCCACCACACCGGGTTCCCATGTGGGCACCAGTTCCAGTCCAGCTCTCTGCTGTGCCTGGGAGAGCAGTGGAGGATGGCCAAGTGCTTGGGCCCTGCACCCACGTGGGAGGCCTGGAAGCTGCTCCTGGCTTCAGATCGCCCAGCTCCGGCCGTTGCGGCCATCTGGGGAGGGAACCAGCAGATGCAAGACCTCTCTCTGTCTCTCTCTCTCTATAACTCTGCCTATCAAATAAAATCTTAAAAAAAAAAGGGGAAAAGTTCACCTAGGTTCATGATTCTTGGCTATTTTTGTTATTCCTTCCTCTGTCCAAATGGCCACTCCTAGCCGCCATCAGGCAAGGACCCCAGGGACCGCCGAGTCCTCCCTTGGTTAGTGCCCCTGCAGGAGGGCATTGCAGGAAGTTCCTACTCTGGAACACAAAATTTTGGAACTCAAGCATAACTGTTTTTACAGTACATATTTTCCATGAATTTTTGAAGCCTGCAATGTATGGATTTTACCAAAATAAACCTTTTAATTCTATTTTTTCATGAGCTTTTAAAAGTATCCTCAGGGGGCCGGCACTGTGGCAGCAGGATAAGCCTCTGCCTGCAGCACCAGCATCCTACATGGGTGCTGGTTTGAGTCCTGGCTACCCCTCTTCTGATCCAGCTCCCTGCTAATGTGGCTGGGAAAGCAGTGGAGAATGGCCCGAGAGATTGGGCCCTGCACCCACACAGACCTGGAAGACGCTCCAGGCTTCGGTCTGGCCCAGCCCCCGCAGTTGCAGCCACTGGGGAGTGAACCCCTGGCCGGAGGACCTCTGGCGGCCCGGCTAAGCCGCCGTCCGCTGTCTTCCTGCGGGGCTGCGCCATCCTCCATGGGCTCAGCTTTCAGGCCGGCTCAGAACTACAAACCCCCAACGCTATCAGCCTGACCTGCACACGGCTAGAGCTGCCTGCCTAGTTCTCACTGTTGTCCTGGGCCATCCGCCACTGCCTGGAACCAGTGTCTGTCTGGGATGCTGACGTTGCAGGAGGAAACGACGTCTACGCCCTCGTTCTCACTTCTGTCTCCCATGTTCACTCCTAGCTGAGGAGCCGGCCACACGGCTGGGTTTGCAAGCTGCCCGCCTGGCTTCCTGGTGCGTGCCCCACCCTGCCCCCCACCCCCACCCCACGGAAGGCCAGAGCAAGCCACTTACCTGGCTGTCCTCCTGCATCAGGGCCCACAGATTGAGGACGTCAGTGCCACAGTCCTGAGCCACCTGCACACACGCACTGGCGTACTCTCCGACAACCGCATTCACACGATTTAATTTGTGACCTGTTAGAGAGCAGAGCCCAGTAGCAGCCGAGACTCACGCTGGTCCTTGGTGCAAGGTCCGCTGAGCTTTTAGTTCCCATTTCCTGTGGCAGGTGTTCGGTACGGGCTGGGACAGCTGCACCCATACCAGAGTGCCCGGTTGGAGTCCCGGCTCCTGTGCGGCCTAGGGGGCAGCGGGACAGGGGGACGCCTGCCGTCCGTGTGCGAGAGCGTGTGGAGGTCTGGGCTTTGGCTCGGCCCCGCCGGCTGTGGCACAGACGGGAGCTGCCCCTCTGTCTCTCCCGTGCCTGCTGTCTGAGAGGCAGTGACCGAGACTGTCCGCCAACTGCTCACCCCCAGATGCCCCAGAACTCCAGGGCTCTCCCGGCAGGGGGCCGGCAGGCTCACAGTGGGGAGGCTGGATCCCAGGTGGGACTTACCACCCCTGGACAGTTGCTAAGGGGCAGCCGTGGGCTTGGGCTCACTTGTGTGTGCTGCGCTGGCTGAGGGCAGGCAGGAAAGGCACAGCCAACCCTGGGAGCTGGACGCTGACCCAGAATTTCCTGCGTAAAGAGAAGCCGCTCCGGCGTGGTGGGCAACTGCGGGCTGGGCCTGGAGACAGAGCAGTTTTCTCTGCCGGCAGAGCCCCCGATCTGGGGCGCACTGTGATTAAACTCGCACAGACCCAGGGCACAGCGCGCGCGGGCCTCGGCCTCTCCTGGCCCTGCTGTCCCGGGGGGTGGGTGCTACGCTGGGAGGCAGGTGCTACGCTGGGAGGCGGCCGTGCTGCTGCCGTCCTGGCCGGGCTCACAGGTCCGCGGGCAAGGCCGCAGGAGCTGACGGTGTCCGGGAACTGACGGGAGTGATACAGTGGAGAGAAAAGCTGAAGACACGGGACAGGCTGCGTGTCGTGTGTGCGTGGGGGGGAGGGGGGGTAAACGTCCCTGGTTCTGCTTCACCCACGGATCGACGTTGCAAAGCCCACCCACGTTACCATCAGCTGCGCCTGAGACCTCATCAGGTCAATGAGCTGTGATCTCTGCCTAGCTCTGCTCACCTCTGACCCATGGGCAAAATTCCCCCTGGACTACAGCGTACAGGGCGTGAATGAGGAAATGAAAGTAAAATGTAAGAATTTTGGGGGCCGGCGCTGTGGCAAAGCAGGTAAAGCCTCCGCCTGCGGCGCCAGCATCCCATATGCACGTGGGTTCGAGTCCCGGCTGCTCCACTTCCAATCCAGCTCTCCGCTGTGGCCTGGGAAAGCAGTGGAAGACGCCCCAAGTGCTTGGGCCCCTGCACCCGCGTGGCAGACCCGGAGGAAGCTCCTGGCTTCAGATCACCCAGCTCCGGCCGCTGCGGCCATCTGGGGACTGAACCAGTGGATGGAAGACCTCTCTCTCTCTGAGATAAATACAAAATAACCTGTCCTAGCATGACCTGTTTTCCTTGTGTTACAGGGCGCTTAGGGAAGTTCCATAAAGCCCTTTAGAGACACGGCCGCTGCACGCGGGGAACAGCTCCTCGGGACAGCGCAGACGGCTCGCACTGCGGGCTCCCCACGGAGGGCGGCTTCCCAGGCAGAGCGCAGGCCCTCACGGGGGAGCGGCTGCCCGCCCCCTCCTGCCTTCCTCGGAACCTGTTTTCGTGTCTGTTTTCATCCACTTGAACGGCAGAGAGGCTTCCATCCGCTGGTTCACTCCCCAGGTGCCCCGCAGCCAAGGCTGGGCCCCCACCCGCTGCCTCCCAGGGGCCTTCACCAGCAGCTGGAGAGGGACTGGTGGCGCCGGGACTCACGGCAGCGTCGACTGGGGACGTGGGTGCCCCAAGCACCTGCCCCAGGACAGAGGTCCTGTCAGCTCTCAGGGCTGAGGGAACGGAAATGCAGGCGGACGGGGACCTGCAGCCCCCGCGGGCCTCCCGGGCTGGTGCAGGCTCGCCGGGGCTCGCGGGCCTCCGGGGCTGGGGCAGGCTCGCCGGGGCTCGCGGGCCTCCCGGGCTGGGGCAAGCTCGCCGGGGCTCGCGGGCCTCCGGGGCTGGAGCAGGCTCGCCGGGGCTCGCGGGTCTCCCGGGCTGGGGCAAGCTCGCCGGGGCTCGCGGGCCTCCGGGGCTGGGGCAGGCTCGCCGCGGCTCGCTGGCCTCGGGGACTGGGGCAGGCTCGCCGGGGCTCGCTGGCCTCGCGGACTGGGGCAGGCTCGCCGGGCTCGCGGGCCTCCGGGGCTGGGGCAGGCTCGCCAGGCTCGCGGGCCTCCGGGGCTGGGGCAGGCTCGCCGGGGCTCGCTGGCCTCGCGGACTGGGGCAGGCTCGCCGGGGCTCGCGGGCCTCCCGGGCTGGAGCAGGCTCGCCGGGGCTCGCTCACCTTGCGCGATGCACTCCTTCTCCCAGGCCGCTTCGCAAAGCGGGGGCGGCGTGATGAGAATGACCCGGCTCTCGGGGACGCCCACGGACTGCAGGTACTGCACCATGCTCCGCAGGTTGCCGGCGTACTCGTCCAGGGGGACGTGCTGCTTGGGATTCTCATCTGTTCGAGAGCAACAGCACACGCAGGGTCCCTCACAGGGTGCTGGGACTGCAGGTGCAGCATGGCACCGGCCCAGTTCCAACCCTGGCTTTGTCGCCAACTCCACAGGCCCCCGGGCGGACACCCGACCCTCCCGTGCCTCCTAGTGCGGCTGTGCAGATCCCACGGGCTAAGTGCGCGCGCGCCTACGGCCGGTGCCTCAACGAGGGGTGGTCTCTAGGTAGTCTCGCCAAGGATGGCTACAGTGCTCTGCAGACCACAGGCAAGGAGAAGGCCATCACCCGGTCCTGCCATCCACGCAAGTGCCGCTGGCATCGGGCAGGCTGTTCAGGTTTCCGGTGCAGATGTGTAACTTTAAAAAGAAACCTAAGAGGGCCAGCACTGTGGCGCCCGCATCCCATACGGGTGCCGGTTCGAGTCCCAGCTGCTCCTCTTCTGATCCAGCTCCCTGCTGTGGCCTGGGAAAGCAGTGGAGGAGGCCCAAGTCCTCGGGCCCTGCACCCGCACGGGAGACCCAGTGTGAGCTCCTGCCGTCGGATCGGCCCGGTTCTGGTTGCTGCGGCCTTCTGGGGCATGAACTCCCTGTCTCCCTCTCGGATAAGATCTTAAAGCAGGAGCTGACACTGAACGTACAGGACTTCCCTTCCCCGCTTGTGTCCATCAAGTCTTCAAGTAGCATTTAGTAGCAGGTGCCCGTAGCCAACCCCGTTTCCTCACTGGCAGCACTTGGCTGTCTGCTCCGCGGAGACCGGCACACGGGCATCCCTGCACGCAGACTGCTGCCCGCCCCCTCCGTGTCCCTGGGCAGGCCCGGCCCCCACGCCCACGCCCACGCCCGCCGGCTGCCTCCCTGCTCACGGCGGTGCCCGCCCGAGTCCCGCGTTCTGCTGGCTGCTGAATGGAGTTCCCGTGCCTCTCCGCATGTGACTGGGCTGTTGGATTTCTCCTCTTTTTTTTTAATTTGAGAGGAGAGTTAGAGTGAAAGGGACAGACAGAAAGGTCTTCCATCCGCTGGTTCACTCCCCAGATGGCCGCAACAGCCGAAGCTGTGCCTATCTGAAGCCAGGAGCTTCCTCCAGGTCTCCCACACGGGTGCAGGGGCCCAAGCACTTGGCCATCTTCTTCTGCTTTCCCAGGCCACAGCAGAGAGCTGGAGGAAGAGCAGCTGGGACTCGAACCAGCACCCACATGGGATGCCGGCACTGCAGGCAGAGGATTAACCCACTGCACCACGGAGCGGGCCCCAGGTTCCTCCTCCTGGGAGTGGCCCGTCCCTACCCCTTCTACCGCAGTTACTGTTTTCCTTGTTGATGTCTACATTAAAGGCATTATCCTTTGTCTGCCACACTTTCCAAATAGCTTTCCCTTTTCTTCTTTATAACTTCCTTGGACTCTGCCTCGGTGACCACCTCCATAGTTTTCATGCTTTGAAGGTGTTTCTCCTGGTCCCAAGTTTGATAAAAACGCACCTTTTAAAAACACTTTCACTTTTTGGAGTTCCCTAGCATTTTTTTGGTACCATGTAACGTGCAGGTTTCCTTTAGGCCTAGCTCAGTCTGCAGCGACTGTGTCCGTGTCCACACGTGGCCCTCTCCCAGACGGCGGAAGTGCGGGCCACGGCTTCCCCTTCTCACCACAGAGGGCAGAGAGCAAGCCCCTCCCTGTCTGCGGCCAGTTCTCCCAGTGCCAGCAAACCCGGAGAAGCGGAGGGACGGCCCCTCCGAGCCCGCAGCCCCCACCCCGGCAGTGCCGTGGTGCGAGGGGTCGCCCGAGGCGTGTGGAAACGGGTTGGGAATAAAAGCCAGTTTCAAAGAACACAGCTGAGCTAGGCACACGCAGCACGGCGTCACCTTTCAGCGCGCTGTCGTTGGCCCCGAAGAAGACGGTCACGGCCGCGGGGCTGTCCAGGTCGCGGCCGCTCCCGATGAGCCTCGGCAGGATGATTCTGGCCCACCTGCTGTTGTAGCCTGAAAACCCGCGGTTCAGGACGTCACACTTCCTGGAACGAAGAATTTCAAAGGTGAGCTCGGGGCACCCGCGTGTGCCCAGGCTCCACCTGGCCATGAGACCATTGCGACCTCTCCCGGAAGTCGCCCACAGCAGGGATCCACAGCCTCGCGAGGGCTGGGTGTGGCGGCAGAGCTGGGCGTGGGCGAGCGAGCCCCCGGTGAGCTGGACCAAGTGTGCTGACGGGGCAGTTCGGGTTGCGTGGACGAACGCTGGGGGTTTCACTTCAGTAATCACGGAAATGTCTGGTTCCCACTCGGACCAGTTCACACCAGGCAGTTTCTCCTCCTTTCTTACAAAGCGTGGGACGGTGGACAGCGGAGGCCAGGCGTGTTGCCTGCCGACGCCCGTGGCCCTGGCAACGTCACCGCCTGGCTGCGCAGTCGCCCGGGAGAGGGGCAGTTTGCAGACACAGCCGCAGGCGGGCGGGCGGGCCGGCTCCCCACACCCGGCTTTTGTAGATTTATGTTGTTCTCTGAACACAGGGAGTCTCGGGGCTTGGCTCACCAGTCGCAAACCAACGGGGTTCACTTTGCTATTTGGTTCAAATGCCTACTTTTCAAAATTAATTTGATTTGAAAATCAGAGTTGCAGGTGGGGCCTCTTCCATCCGCTGGTTCACTCCCCAGATGGTTGCAACAGGCAGCGCTGGGCTGGAGCCAGGAGCCCCTCCTGACTCGCCCACACGGGAGCAGGGGCCCAGATGCTAGGACCACCTGCTGCTCTCTCCCGGGCCGCTGGCAGGGAGCTACATTAAGTGGAGCAGCTGGGACTCGAACTGGTGCCCACATGGATGGTGACAACCCAGGGGCACCACAGCACCACCGGGCAAACCCCTGCTTCTCCACCAAGCAGCTGGGAGCACCTGCAGGCTGTATGCTGTATGCCCAGGCCGGCAGCAGGGGGCGCACTTAACGACACTAAGCGAGAGCACTCAGGTGGCACTGCAAAATCCCAGCAGCAGGGGCCGGTGTGGTGGGGCAGCAGCTAACGTCCCGGCAGTTCTGTCCCGGCTGCCCCTCTTCCAGGCCAGCCCTCTGCTGTGGCCAGGGAGTGCGCTGGAGGATGGCCCAGGTGCTTGGGCCCTGCACCCCATGGGAGACCAGGAGAAGCACCTGGCTCCTGGCTTCAGATCAGCGCAGCTCCGGCCATTGTGGCCATCTGGGGAGTGAACCAGCGGATGGAAGACCTCTCTCTCTGTAACTGTCTTTCAGATCAATAAAATAAAATTTTTTTTTTATTTTAAAAAGGCACTGTGGCAGGTGCCCCTCCAGAGGCCACACCCACACCAGAGCGCCTGCGCTGTCCCGGCCACTCCAGCTCTCTGCTAGCACATCTGGCAGACGGCAGATGATGGCTTAAGTGTTGGGATACCCACAGGTATTTGCCACCCACACGGAGACCCTCATGCGGTTCCTGCTCCCGGTCTCTGGCCCAGCCCTAAATGTGGCCTTTGGGGAGTCAATCAGTGGATGAAGGTGTTTCTGCCGCTGTACCTTTCAAATATATGAAAACAAAACCTTTTTTAAAAGTTGAACCATAGGGGCCGGCGCTGTGGCTCAGCAGGTTAAAGCCCTGGCCTGCAGAGCCAGCATCCCATATGGGCACCGGTTCCAGTCCCGGCTGCTCCGCTTCCCATCCAGCTCCCTGCTCATGCGCCTGGGAAAGCAGCTGAGGACGGCCCAGGTGCTCGGGCCCCTGCACCCACGTGGGAGCCCCGGAAGAAGCTCCTGGCTGCGGCTCGGACCAGGCCCGCTTGCTGTGGCCATTTGGGGAGGGAACCAGCACACGGAGGAGCTCTCTATGTACCTCTGCCTTTTGAGTAACAAAAACCTTTAAAAAACAAAAATTGAGCCATATCTTTAATCAGATTCTGAGCGTTTTTATCTGTAACCATCATAAAAATTAGCCATTTCGAAGACTCCAAGAGCTGAAACACTGTACAGTGGAGCTCTGTGGGTGCGCCCCGCCCCACCCCCAGTTCTGAGCGCCCGGCTGTCGGAGGAGCAGACTGAACGTGGGGCCCAGACGTGGGAGGCGCTCGGGCAGCGACTACGCATTTCCTAAAGTCAAGTGAAACGAAGAGTGATTCTAAGGCTTCCTGTGCTGACGTGTCAGTGAGGGGCAGTGCCGTGCCCAGCCAGGTAAGCTGGCCTGCAAGGACGGCACCCCACGGGGTGGCTGGCTGCGGTCCCACTGCCTGGGCCCCTGCCACCATGTGGGAGACCAGGATGGAGTCCTGGCTCCTGGCTTGGGCTTGACCCAGCCCCGGCCATTGCAGCCATCTGGGGAGTGAACCAGTGGATGGAGGATCTGTCACTCTGCCTTTCAATTAATTAGATCTTTTGTTAGATTTATTTATTTGAAAGGCAGAGTTAGAGGCAGAGACAGAGAAAGGTCTCCCTCCCGCTGGTTCAGTGCCCAGATGGCTGCAACGGCCGGAGCTGAGCAGATCCAAAGCCAGGAATTGGTCTCCCATGCAGGTGCAGGGGCCCAAGCACTTGGGCCATCTTCCGCTGATTTCCTAGGCCATAGCAGAGAGCTGGATTGGAAATGGATCAGCTGGGACTTGAACCAGCGCCCATATGGGATGCCGGCACTGCAGGCGGCAGCCTTAGCCACTACACCACAGCGCCAGCAGGTGATTTTTATTTTCAAGATTCATTCATTTATTTTCATCCACTCAAAAGGTAGAGACAAAGACCTATCCGCTGGTTCACTCCCAAGGCTTTCGCATGTTAAAGCCGGGAGCCCAGAACCCCATCCTGGTCTCCCACACGGGTGCAGGGCCCAAGGACCTGGGCCATCCTCCACTGCTCTCCCAGGCCACAGCAGAGAGCTGGACTGGAAGTGGAGCAGCCGGGACCAGAACCGGCGCCCACATGGGATGTTGGCACTGCAGGCAGTGGCTTTACCCACAATGCCACAGTGCCGGCCCCCAAATAAATAAATCTTTAAACAAAGAAGAAACAACTTAGATGATTTAAAAGGCGTTCAGATGCCTTTTTTTTTTTTTTAATTTTATAAGATGCTTTTTGTAACGAGCATACAAAGATCTTTAAAGCTGAAACTTAAGAATTTATCCCCATGGGATGAGGACTTGTAAGCGCCCCAAACCCACCATCTCTAATGTTCTAGAGGGCGGACGTGACGCCAGAGTGAGAAATCCCACCCCAGCCCTCACTGGCAAGTCACAATGCACAGGCTCTGTGTGGAAGGCAGCACAGATGGGCTGGGTTTAGACTTGGGTCTCATGGCCAAGGGAACTCATGTGTACACGCAAATCTTTCAAGTTCTGAAAAAAAAACAAACACTTTTGGTCCCAAGCATCTGGATCAAGGGATCCTCGGCTCCTACTTTAATACCAGGTGGGTAGCTGAGGGCAGTACAATCAGCTACGTGTGTGGCGTAGCAGGTGAAGTCCTGCCTGCAGTCCCGGTTGCCCCTCTTCCAGGCCAGCTCTCTGCTGTGGCCAGGGAGTGCAGTGGAGGATGGCCCAGGTGCTTGGGCCCTGTACCCCATGGGAGACCGGGAGAAGCACCTGGCTCTGGGTCGGCACAGCCGTGTCCACTGCGGCCATTTGGGGAGTGAACCAACAGATGGAAGACACCACCCCACCCTCCACCCCTGCCCTGGTAAGACTGCCTTTCAAATAGATTTATTTCCAAGTGTTAGGGTGAGGGGGAGAGAGAGGTCTTCCATCCACTGGTTCACTCCCTAGATGGCTGCAATGGCCAGAGCTGGGTCAGGCTGAGGCCAGGAGCTTCTTCCAGGTCTCCCACGCGGTGCAGGGGCCCAAGCACTTGGCCGTCCTCCACTGCCCTCCCAGGCCACAGCAGAGAGCTGGATGGGAAGTGGAGCAGCCGGATCTTGAACCGGCGCCCACATGGGATGCCAGCACTGCAGGCGGTGGCTTTACCTGCTGCGCCACAGCGCTGGCCCCAGGCAAATCTCTTTTGTGTAAAGTTAAGTCCTAGTAACCCTGAGACCGGGGGTCAAATCCAAACGGCGAGGATGGTTCAGGCCGGGCAGGTCAGAGCAGGTGCCCTGGGGGCCCGGGTTCCCCCACAGCTGAAGCTAAGGGGGCTGGGCGGTGTGGACTGAGGGTGCGGCCGGCAGGGAAGGGAGACCCCTCCCCACGCCTGGGGGCAAAGTCCTCCGGCTGCGCCCCGGCCCCGGCCACTCCTCTCACCTGACCAGTCTGTGCGCCAGCGCCGCTCCCCAGCCACCCTGCTGGAAAGAGAACTGCGGAGAGAGGCCCGTTACCGCGCGCCGGCCCGCACCCGCCCTCTCCGCGGAGCCCGCGCGCGCCTGTCCCCGCGCCCGGACGGCGACCCTGCGTAGAGCCAGGGCGCGCGTGGAGGGAGTCTCCCTTCCCCGGAGCCGTCTTCCTCAACAATGCTCGCGCGCCAGGGCGCTCTGCGTCCACGCCACGCTGACGGCCCGACCGGCTGCACCAGACGCGGGAGCCCGCAGGGCCCGGATCCGACGGCCGCTCTCGCGCTCCAGGGCACCCCGCGTCCCCCGGGGGCGGACGTCCAGCCCGCGACGGTCGGGCTACCTGGGTGATCGAGTCACCGAACAGCAACACGCGAGGCCAGACCAGGAGACCCCCGGAAGACACCGTCTCCCGCAGCGCCATGGTCGCGCCGGCCGCCCGACGGCTCCAGGCCGGATATCCGGGGCCGGGGGCGGGACTTCGCGGCGCGGGGCGGGGCCCGGCCGCCCGCCCGTCACCAGCGTCTGCGCCTACGCAGCTCAGAGTCCCGCCCACGAGTTCCCAGAGTGGTGTCACGGCGGCCGCCCGGCTATGGAACGCCTGGCTCCTCGCTTCTGCCCATTTTCCCCTGGCCTGCGGGCCGTGGGCGCTCTCCAGCCGGGGTCTGCATCAGCACGGAGCTGCAGCCGGGCCCGGTGACCGTCCGGCTGGGCGCCTGCTGCAGGAGGGGCCAGCACCGCAGCAGAGGCCAGGTCCCTGCCTGGGGAGGTGGGACGGACCCCAGCACCCCGACGCGAGCCTGCACCCTGCGGCCCCGGACCCGCGGGTGGCAGAGGCCCGCGTCAGCCGCAGCCCCGGACCCGCGGGTGGCAGAGCCCCCTCCGCGCGTGGCGCCTCTGCTCACTCCAGCCCGCAGCACAGAGCGTGCGCCCCCTGCAGTAGCACACAGTGTTCGGTGGGAGCCGTCTCCCCGCACCTCTGCCCCGCGCGGTGTGGCTGCGGCCCACGAGGGCGGGGCTCTCTGGAGGAGTGGAGACGCCGCCCCAGAGAAGAGACCACGCGTTTTATTAAGTCGCACAGCAGAGTCGGGGGTTTACACGGAGTGCGGCTCAGTGCACGGGCGTGAGCGCCTCGTACAGCCGCTGCGCCGCCAGCTCCACCATCTCCCGCAGCGACTCGTCGTCCTCGCTCCCCTCTTCACACTCCACCGTCTGCAAGGAAACCAGAGAGCCGTCAGCCGGGGAGCCGAGCAGGGGTGCAGGGAGCTCCCGGGGAGACACTCAGGGATGGGGCGGCGTAAGCAGCAAGCACACCTGACCCCAGGAGGGACACGGGGTGGAGGGGCAGACTAACGAACCACACGCACTGGGCAGGCTGTGCCGGGGCCTGGAACTCGGATCTCCCCTGTGGGTAGCAGGGTCTGGGCCAGGAGCCATCACTCACGGCCCGCAGCAGCCTCAGTAACAGGAAGCAGTTGGATTCGGGACGCAGGCACACAGGCTTCCATGCAGTTCCCAGACTGCCCTGGGGAATGCACACGCCCTCTGCGCCCCAGGGCCTGGACAAGAGTCCCCTATGCATTTCAGCATCGCTGGGTCCTTTCTCTCTTTGTGCTGATCATTCATACTTTAAACTTGCATTTCCTCTAATTCTCTTTTTAAAGGTTTACTCATTTCAGGGGGCCGGTGCTGTGGCGTACTGGGTTGGGGCTGCGCCTGCAGTGCCAGCATCCCTTATGGGCACCGGTTAGAGACCCGGCTGCTCCACTTCCAGTCCAGCTCTCTGCTGTGGCCTGGGACAGCAGTAGAAGATGACCCAAGTCTTTGGGCCCCTGCACCCATGTGGGAAGACCCGGAGGAAGCTTCAGATCGGTGCAGCTCCAGCCTTTGCGGCTAATTGGGGAGTGAACCGGCTGATGGAAGACCTCTCTACTTCTCTCTGTAACTCTTTCAAATAAATAAATCTTAAAAAAAAAAAAAAAAGAAAGAAAAGAAAAGAAAAGAAAAGAAAAAAGAAAAAAAAGATGTATTCATTTCAAAGGCATAGCAAGAGAGAGGGAGAGACACACACACAGAACCACCTGCTGGTTCACTTCCTCAATGGCTATGAGAGCCCCATTCTGGCGTGGCTGGGAGGAGCTTCCCCTGCACATTAGCAGGAAGTGGGCCTGGGAGCAGAGTAGCCTGGACTGGAGCAGATATTCGGCCACGGGATGCTGGTGTCTCCAGCAGCAGCCCCGCCCCGCTGATCAGGGACGGATCTGAATGCTGTCCTCTGCCTCCTGGCCACCTGTGTCTCTCCAGTGAGATACCTACTCATGTTTTCTCATTTATATCAAAGTAACATCTAGTGATTTCTCAGACACCTACAGAGTCAAAGAACACAGAAATTAAAGACCCCGCAGAGGGGTGGGGTGCCCGTGGAGCCCATGGAGACCCCGCAGAGGGGTGGGGTGCCCGTGGAGCCCATGAAGCCCCCAGAGGGGTGGGGTGCCCGTGGGAGCCCTTGGAGACCCCGTGGAAGGGTGGGGTTCCCGTGGAGCCCATGGAGACCCCGCAGAGGGGTGGGGTGCCCGTGGAGCCCATGGAGACCGCGCAGAGGGGTGGGGTGCCCGTGGAGCCCATGGAGACCCCGCAGAGGGGTGGGGTGCCCGTGGAGCCCATGGAGTCTGCATAGAGGGGTGGGGTGCCCGTGGAGCCCATGGAGTCTGCATAGAGGGGTGGGGTGCCCGTGGAGCCCATGGAGAGATCCCATGGGAGTGAGGCCCCTGCAGCAGCGTGGAGAGCACTCTGGGGAGGTTTCCACGTCACGCAGACTAGAACAGGAAGCAGGTGCTGGAAGGAGAAGCAGGGTGGGACTACCACACAGAAACGAGGAGAGGAGGAAGCCCAGAACGCGAACGTAAGCTGTCGGGTGTGGGCCCTGGGTCACTCCTGCTTCCACTCTGCTTCCAGACATCTGAGCCGCAGGGAGAGGCTGCCGCGTACCCGAGTCTCCAAGTTGATGTTGGCCGTTCTCCCGTCCACCGTGACACTGAGGAGAGCGCCGTCTTTCACACTGACACAGTCTTCTCCAAATATGTCCCTTGAAAGAAAAAGCGGCTGAATCAGCAGCACAGTCCGACTTCACAGACGCGGAGACACACTTCTTACTCACCTTGCTACAACTTATTAATTCCACGATTAATATGTAATGTGACATATACACACACAAGAACCACTAAGACTGCTCTATTCAGCGGCACTGTGCTGGCCACTCCATAGCCAACATTTTAACTAGGACTTGAGCTGTGACTTCGGTAAGGATCCCTTTTGCCACTCGGCAGAGGAGACAGAAGAGTTAAGTGGCTTCACGCCTCGTGGTTCACCAACAGCTGAGCTGTTCAAATCCAGGTTTCCAGATGCAGCTGGTGCCCACGTAAACTCGCGGTCCACTGCTTTTATCCTCTTCAAATGCCTAGCTGAGTTCATTCATCTCGGTATTTTTTTAGAAGAGATTTATTTATTTGAAAGGCAGAGTGACTGGGAGAGATCTACCCGCTGGTGCCCTCCCTGAATGCCTGCAGCAGCTGGGGCAGGGCCAGGGCAGAGCCGGGAGGCCCTGAGCTTACTCAGTCTGCCCAGGGCTGGCAGGAGGGCAGGCACCTGGGCAGTCAGCCAGCATGGACGCAGGTGAGACACTGCTCAGCCCCGCTCAACCCGCACAGAGAGGGGAGGGGCAGCCACAGCTCTGCTCCTTCAGGCAGTTCCGAAGCTGGAGGCGGGGCACTGGCACAGCGGTTGAGACACCGCTTGGGAGGCCAGCGTGCCGTCAGAGCGCCTGGCAGGAGTCCTGGCTCCTCTGCTTCAGTGCACTTCCGGCTCAACGCGCACCTTGGAGGACGGCAGAAAGTGGCTCAACTACGTGGCTCCCTGCCGTTGGGTGGGAGACCCGGAACTCCTGGCCTCAGCGTGGCCCAGCCCTGTTGTCGTGCACATCTGAGGAGTTTGCCAGCAAATGGAAGGTCTCTGTGTCTCTTTCTGCCTTTTGAATAAAGTGGAAAAAAATATTGGGAATATGACGTAGCTGGGTCACTAGTGCCAAGGAAAAGCACTTTATTTTAAATAAAGATATACGCAAAAGGACAGGACAGAGGTTTCGTTTTCATGTGATTAACTGCCGGTCGCTGAAACAAGCCAGCACTGAAGTTCTCCTATTTAATCCCACTGTTCGCAGGCTCCTGTCGACTTGCAAGTTCGAACACTGCCCGTCACACTGACGAAGCCAGAGCAAGCTGTGGCTCTGTCTTGTGTCTCTTCTCGGAATAACTGCGTGGTTCAGTGTTCATGGGGCAGGCAGGAGGGGGAGGGGCAGGCAGGGGGGAGCAGGCAGGAGGGGGAGGTGCAGGCGGGGGGGGCAGGCAGGAGAGGGGCAGGCAGGAGGGGGGAGGGGCAGGCAGGAGGGGGAAGTGCAGGCGGGGTGGGGGGCAGGCAGGAGAGAGAGGTGCAGGTAGGGGGCAGGCAGGAGAGGGGCAGGCATGTGGGGGAGGTGCAGGTGGGGGGGCAGGCAGGAGGGGGAGGTGCAGGCGGGGGGGCAGGCAGGAGGGGGGAGGGGCAGGCAGGAGGGGGAGGTGCAGGCGGGGGGGGGCAGGCAGGAGGGGGGAGGGGCAGGCAGGAGGGGGAGGTGCAGGCGGGGGGGGCAGGCAGGAGGGGGAGGTGCAGGCAGGGGGGAGCAGGCAGGAGTGGGGAGGGGCAGGTGGGGGGGCAGGCAGGAGGGGGAGGTGCAGGTGGGGGGGCAGGCAGGAGGGGGGAGGTGCAGGTGGGGGGGCAGGCAGGAGGGGGGAGGTGCAGGCGGGGGAAGTGCAGGCAGGAGGGGGAGGTGCAGGCGGGGGGCAGGCAGGAGGGGGCACAGAGGCCAGGTGCACAGTGAGTTGAGGGGCTCGCAGACTCTTGCAGGTGCCCCTTGGTCAGCTCAGGGCCGGCCAGGGCAGTGCCCCTCCTGCACCCCTGCTGTGGTGCCTGCAGAGCCACTCCAGGATCACAGGCTGCGGGTCCTGTAGACGCCCCTGAGCAGCGCTGCCCCCAGCAGGACGTGCCGGGACACCCCGGGCCGGCCCACCCCCACTAACATAGGCCAAACTGCGTGTGTGTGTACGTGTGTGTGTACGTGTGTGCATGTGTGTGCATCTCCCCTGCTCCCAGCCTGGGCAAAGTCCCGCAGCGTTACCCGCCCACCAAAGGGGACAAGCGTCTAACAGAGGCTCTCAGAGGCCAAAGCTGGCGGGTCAGCTTCCAGAGTGCAGAGCAAGGCCCTCTGCAAGGGGGGCCGGGGGAGCCAGCGGGGCAGAGAGGGGCCGAGGGGGGGAGCCGGGGGGCTGGGGGAGCCAGGGCGAGCCGAGGGGAGCTGGGGGAGCCAGGGGGGCTGGGGCCGGGGGGAGCCGGGGGGAGCCAGAGGAACCTGGGGAGCTGGGGGGCCGGACCCGGGAGGGGGGGTCCGGGGGAGCCAGGGGAGCCGG